CGGGGAACAGAACAGGCAAATTGACTGAAATACACTGCTGAGGGGAGCAGCAGGCGAATCAGGAGAGGTCTGTGGTGCCATGTGGGCAGCTGTGCTGCAGTGGCTGCGGATAGCTTCATAGGTTGCGTTTTAACCCTTGCACCACCAGGGAGACTTCAATTGCTTCTCAGGGAGGCCCACATAAGCTGCCCACAAGGACAGCAGGGGGCCGTAGAGTCACATCATTGAGGGCTCTACCAGGTATTGTCTACAGGTACCAGGCCCTGAATAAGGCACAGGATGCACATGCTCTCCTGTCATTTTCCTGGCAGCGCTCCAAGGAGGGGCTTTACTTCACCTTTCAGCTAAGAATGCCTATAAGCTTACTTCTCTGGTTCCAAAGTCCATCCAAATAGGCCCAGGGCTCTACTACAGGGTTCAATCATTGGCCTAGCCTCGTGTCCTAGTGGTGCTCCATCTCATACCCTGACCTGCCACTCCAAACTGATAGTTGAAGTTTTCTTTTTCATTATTCCTTTGCCTTTCCCATCCCTACTTCCTTCCAGAGTCCTTACGTGAGCCTCCTTTTCTTACAGACTAAGGGAGTTAGGTAAAGGAAGAGTCTGAGATGGAGTGAAGGAAGTGAGAAAGCCCAAAAGGGAATCCATCTTACAGTTGAGAGAAATATCCCAGCTCATCATAACATACAAAAATGTTGAGAAAAAGAGACAGATGTTTTTAATCCCTCAATCATAACTCATGTTGGGATATCCATTTTTTTAGTCTGTTTGGGATAAATACAGCTATGTGATTAGTTTCATTTAACATAGCTTCAATGCTGCTTTCTAGAAGATTGAAAATTGTTTAATTACTGACTTCTGATTTGATAACAAATTACTTTTTCCACTAAATTTAGATATTGCATTCAGAGCCACTCCACTTTCTGTAACATTGCCCTCTGGAATCCCATTAGACAATTAGAGATTTTTCATACATCTTAGTTTTTTCTCTTTCCTTGGCGGATACCAATGCTTCCCTTAACATCTTACCTTTATTTTCTCCTTTCTGTGCACTGTAGACAAATATATATAAGCAGTACAAAATCATCTGGCTGAAGAATGTAGATTCCAAAGTTAATTTAACAATGAATCAAGTTGTTACATTAATTTGTATGACAAAATGGAAATATATTTTTGCTTGATAAGCTTCTCCCACCCTTGTTAACACTCTGCGCTTTTTAATAGTGGAAGACCAGAATAAGGTGCTCATGTTTTGAGTCGGTCAGTGGAGGAAGGGCATTTCATTTCATTGATAAATTATTTACTTAAATTACTTTCTTCATTTAATTAAATTATTCTGATTCATACACTTTATATAAAAGACTGGACAAAAGAGCCAAGGAGTTTAAAAAATAAAGTAGTGACTTTAAATAGCAAAATTGAGTTGATTGCTTTAAGTGTGACACATAATCCCTATTCTTCCCAGAACAGAAACCATTAAAAAAGATATTGCTACTTTTTTATTCCAAGCAATTGGAAATTTTTAAGTAGGGGAGAAGTTGGTTCACTTTGGTCTAATAAATTTTAAGAGGATCCATGACTATGACTTAATACTGATGTCATAGGTGGTACTCAGTTTTCAGGAATAAATTAATTCACATTTAATTGGCATTAGTTTTGTTTTCTGCATGGTGATGGAAGTAATTCCTCTAGGTCCAGTGAGAAATCTTCAATATCCATTTTGGTCCCATGACTAAAAACACAATATATGGAAAATGACTTTGGCGAAGTAATTTATTCCTGCTATATTGGTAATATATTTCTTTTCATTAATGATTTATTGAATTGATTCCTGTAATCATACAGCCATATTTGAAAAAACATTTGAAATATCTAAGGATAATATTTGCAAGAAACTGGGAAAAATGTCAAGACACCATTTCATAGACCAAGGTCTGCAATAATGCTTTTAGTTCAATTTTGTCCCCATATCTTATGCCAACAAAGACTGATTTATAAAGCATGTTCCCAGTCCAGAACCAGATAATACTGGAGATAATTACTATGCCTGGTTAGAATTTAAGAGCAATTTCCTGAGGCACCACTTGTAAAAGTGAAAGAACATACATTGGAATGAGTGCTGGTCAGCTACATACTTAAAGAAAAATAAGGAATTGTCACATAGAAGCTGCTTTTCAATATTAGCTTAAACTATAACTTCATTATATCAGATAACCTTTAATTGCATGATTTTACCTTAATAGTGTGACTTCACACAGAATCTTTTATAGTGTTATTTTACTAAATGGTTTTATCATTTTTTAAAGCATTTTAGACACAGAGAAAAATCTAGTCAATTATAGTCCAATTTCAGTTTATTAACAAATATGGCCAGAGATTTATCATCTGAAAGTTGGAGTTATTGTTAAGATCTAAAGCAGAATTTTAACTTCTTCTGGAAATGAAAATAGATTTTTTTTATTTTAAATAAGAATCATTAGCTACATTAACAAATATGTTACTAGATTTAGAACATTTTAAATGAACACTGAAAAATGCAAGAATATTTCTTTGTTTTCATTGAAATAAACTCATCAAATTTTTTCAAAAATTAAAATTTTTAAAGATGTAACATAATTCAATTTTGAAGTAGTTATGCATTTGCCAAGGAATATCTGAATCCAAGTAAAATTTTCACTTGAGATAAACCAAGATAGGTAAATTTACTTTTTAAAAAATTCTTTGACAATAAAATATTTTTATTTCAAGAAGCAGGAATTCTTTCTGAGCTGCTTGGTAGGTCAAAGTGATAGGCAAATTCAGTCTTGCCCAAGAAAACTATTATTAATCAGAATTCACTTTTTGTAGGTTCTCTGAATTTATCCCTGCTTTTAAAAATGATGAGATCTGCTTTTTATGCATTTGGGAAAACCGATTGAGGGATTGAACAAAATTTTCAAATTAAAACAAAGACCATTTAACTAATTTATACCATTGTTTGGGTTTTCAAAAATCCATCTCTTATGCACTCAACTTTGACTTATTTAATTTGTATAAACAATCAGTTTCAGTTATTTGATTTGGTAATCAATGCACAGCTAAAGTGGAAAAAAATGTATTTAGATGTTAAAAAAAATCCTAGATGTTGATAGCGAGGGGATTCTATTATAGCATGGTGGCTTTAAAAACAAAAACTTTTCTCCCTTTTTTTCTAGCTTTTATAAAAATATTTTTTATTGAACATTGCATTATAACACTTTTTAAGTTTCAGTTTGTACTATTATAAATCAACATTATATAGATGACATTAAATTCACCACTTAAAGAAATAAAAAGGCAGTTTTTTCTTATCTAAATCTTTATTAGAAGAAAAAAACAAATTGATTTAAAACAATGAATAACAACAGATTCATTCAATATTGAACATTTTAGTTATCAAAGATATTTAGACAATGTTCCTAACATTTCTGCACAGCAGAAGCACTACTGATTATAGAGCTCAGACTGTCACATGCTCATGTGATTTTTTTGGCATAAAACAATATCTAAAATCACATTTAAGCAAATGTGATAATAGATAAGCTGATAGTAACTGACTGTTGATTTTCCAAGCTTTCACCAACGACCATATGTGATTGATATTCACTTAGGGTAAATGCTTTATGGACTCTTTCTATAACACTGAGTTACAAGCTGAATTAATTTTCTTTAAAGTTAGTAGAAGTAGTCAAATTATTTTAAATTGAATTAGAAATGATGTCACTTTGTTTTTGCACAATAAAAATTAACATAAATAAAAATGATCATTCCATATCAAAAGTTAGAAAACGAAATAATGTACATTGAACACTCTCTAATGATAATACACCATCACTTGAAATGGAGCTGATTCTCAGTACATGACATCTGTGAGCACCCTTTCAGGGATAAAGTTTCCCTTTGTAATTTCTTGAAGTTTCCCTTTCCAGTCTGTGTAAAGCACTGAGAAATGTGGTCTTATCCTTATTGTATTTTCAAAGATAGAAAACCTTGTTTTGAACTTGTCACTTTTAATTAAAAAAACAAACCCAACAAGTGTCCTTTCAGATTTTTTTTTCTTGCGTGTAGTACACATTCATGAATGTCCACTAGGCGCAAGGGAAATTGTTTATGCTGCAAACATACTCCACCATAGTGAAGATAGTAAACATACTGAAATGACAAATGGTTTCAAACCAGTGAGCTAAGAGGAAAACAAATGCAAGAAGACTTGTTTTAATCACTAAACATTGCAGGTTTTTTTTTTTTTTTAAACAATGTTTGTAAACTTGCCCAAAAAAGCTGGGTAACATTAAACAGCCAGTAAGGCACTTTGTCAGAGAGGACGAAGTAGTAAAGGCTGGATGATTGGCAATTTGTTTAATAGGAAACATTCTGTACTTAAAGAGGGCAAAACCTGGAGCGGGGTAGTCCTTTCACTGATTTACTGTCAAACATGAGTGGAGAAACTCTAAAATTTTCTATTTCACTTTGTTTACCAATTTTCCCTGCAGAAGACTTTTAGTTGTGATTTTAAAAAATATATTAGGAGCTATCAATTTAAATAACACATAATTTTTCAATCTAATATTTAAAAGAATATTAACATATTCACTACTATTTTCAAAACATCCAAGCCACTCTATTTAAAAATGAATTACAAAACAAAAGATCTTAGTATAAAAATGTTCCATGTTATTAACAATTCCCTTGCGACTTCTGATGGCTTCACATATTATAGATTAAGCTTTGGTATAAAACATGCAAATAAAAGCCAACAAGGTCATGAATACAGTGTTCCAAACACAAAGCACTTATGAAACGAGTGTTGCACAGACCAGCAGATGAGGAAAAGGTAACACACCGCAGCAGGATCGCCAGGGTTTGTAGGTCTAGGGCTTCTTAGCTGCATTTTGGTCGTTCAAAATCTTCAGCAGGCTGGGACTCATATAATAAGGTCTTTCAGTAGTACCTTCGTTTCTTTCTATGTCTTCCACTAGGAGGAAGAACGGCACAGAGTAAATAGCAAAGCAAGATTGTAAAAGTAGTAACATCGCCATCTGCTGCGTACTTGCTTTACAGCAGTTAAAAAAAAAAAAAAGCAGCATAGTTTGCCATCAATATTATTGTAAACATAACTATGAGAAAATAATCAGCCCTTGTTTTGATGTCAAGAAGGTACTACCTCATGGTGTACCAGATCAGATTCTGCCAATATAGTGCATGCCTCTTAGTCTTTTGTGAAAAGAACGATTACCAAAAAAACAAGATTCATTAGGATTTCTAAATTCACCACCTTCAAATTCCTAAAGCATTATGTTCTCAATTTACTTCCTAAATTTCCATACTTGTCCAACATCATTTTTGTTTTGCCATCAACAACTTAGTAAAGTTTAGAAAATGTAAGGCTTATAAATTTTAGTATATTTCAAATCCATAGGCTTCAAATTTTGAGAAAAAGTACTGATTTTTTTGTTTCTAGTTTGCTTTGAAGAAAATCAGTACTAATTTTTTTTCTCAAAATCAATGCTCATTTTTACTCTACATTAATTTTAATTACACACAAAAGTAATTAATCGAGAATATTTTATGACTAGAAATAAGCTCACACTATAGTTAAAACGTCTATATTTAGAGATCCTTCTTTAAGTGTTAAAGAAATTATTAATAATTATTGAACCAAATGTCATTCCTTTCCCTGTGATTTTGTACCCAAGTGTTACATCCTTAAAATACAGTCAAGTTTAGAATGTGCCTCCACATCGTTCAATGAACATTTTCACTCAAGAAAATTTTCTGGTATAATCAGCAAATACAATAAACTTTTAATACATAGGACCCATCTAGTACCAAGAAGAAGTTTTGATCGATAGAAGTCTCCAAAGTAATGTCCTTCATTGTCTCAACTTTCTAACTCCTAGAACAGCCAAGAATATAAAATGAATTACATCCTCACATGTTGTTTATATGTAATTCAAGTAATTTTCCAACTGTTACATATATTAAAATCAACTAAAAAAATTACAATAATTCACCATCTGCCCTACATCCCAACAGAATATGTTAGAATTTCTGGGACTGGGGTGGCATACAGGCATCTATCTATATTATAACAAGTTCTCAGGAAGTGGCTCATACAGAAAAAAAAATTTCCATTGTCTAATTTCATCATTATAAACTTTTTGACTTCTCCTAAAGGAGACTTATTTCTTAGAATTTTTCAACATTAACATAGAGGCAGCTATTTTACTAGATCTTTGTTGTGATCTTTTTATTGTTAAACAAAAGAATAATAACCATCTAGAAACATAAGTTATCACTTTTCTCTGAATTAATTATACTTCAAGGAGAATGACAGTGAAGAAGCCCTTTGTTGAGATATGAAGCCAAGTTACACTTTTGGCAACAATCATCTCTATAGAAAGTAAACCAAGAACAAATTAGTAGCCATTATGAGGACCAATATTTTGGAAACCTTCTCTAGTCATAAACTTCTTCCTATTACACTGGCATGAAATCAGTATAAAATCTAGGTTCCCACACTCCAGATCATTAAATACATTAGTAATTATATTAATTTTTAATGCAATGATACATTTCTGACTCTCTTATTGGATACATGGATCCTATTCAGATAAAAATACTATCAACTTGTTCTTTTCTGTCAGTACATAAATAATCCTCATACAGACATACATTTGTAGACATTTGAACCTATAACCCCTAAAATAAATACAAGATGTAAACCAATTTTACATCAATAAAGAAAAATCCTCATACACAAGCTTATTATAAAAAACAAAAGGATACCGTTGGCTTTATGTTCCTACTGGGGTACATTTTAACATTGTTAACCCTATCATGTATCTGTACACCAGATAGGTAGACAAAGTATCTGAATGTCTGATTCATGCTCTGCCCTGCCATGCAAAATTAGTCATGGCTGCCAGAGACCAGCTTGTTGCCCTGGTCAGCAGGAGTGGAGAGGGACAGTAACTTTCCTCCCTAGCCCTTGAGGCAGATATTTCCTAACCCACAGCACACCCCTTGTAGAGGTAACTATGGAGGATTAATAGTATACTTCCTTTGGGCAAAATCTGAAGTGTCTCGTCTTTTTCCCCTTCCTCACGAAAAGTTGTAATAAAATTAAAACCTTTTGTCAAACAAAACCACACAATCTTTTCAATCTAGAAAAATTGGTATGCTCTTGAAAAGATGTAACAGTTCTTCTGAAATAAATCTATACTGATTTTCGATCTGGTGAGAATAGGAAACTAGGAATCTGCCCCTGTTTAGGGCAGAGACAAAAGGCATGAGTTATGTTGCAATTTCGGTTTTGTTCAAAATATTTGCATGGTGACCAGAGGTTCAAATGACTGGAAATGACATTCTCGAACTCAGATTCAACTTCACTCTAAATATAATTTCACTGAAACAAAATGGGCTATGAAGGTTCAGAGTTTACTTAATGCTCTCTATGGAACCTGCATCACATTCACATCTAGATATCAGTATTTGTTATAGATTTGAATCACTTACTGACATATACTTCCTAGGGAACCATTAATACAAGTTAATCACAGTTTAGAGAGTTGTCCACAGCTTGAACAATATAAATATAACCGTAGCACCATATTTACAAGTTTAGTACCATATGCTGGTTAGCTATAAATCAATCATTTTATGGCTAATTGATAATACATTTAGAGTGCTTTCAAAAATTGCCTGAATATCCTTTACAAATACACATTTATAAAAAGAAAGGCTATCAAAGTGCTGCAACGGGGAACAGCATGCCAAGTTATAAAAGTTATTAAAACACTTTCAGCTATAGACTTTAAAAACATGTTTGACATTTACACCTTGCTTTTCAGCTGGGACCACACGGTCTTACAAAGTATCCCAGTTCACAGAGATTACTGTCACCCAACACCTCACACTTCAGGATGGTGTGAGTTCAGGCTTTTGAGGAATAAGCACAGAAATGTCACATTACTCAGAAATATCATTTTCACATTACAAATGGCCCAATTTACAAAACTTCTACTTAAAAATGAGTGGCACTGTTTGGAGCTTTTCTACTCTTTCTGCTTCTGGGGAACTAGGTGCTTCTTGTTCAGAATTCTGTGAAGGGTGGGGGTTATGAAGTAGGGTTTCTCTGTAGATCCATCATTTCTTTCCAGATCTTCACCTGTATGTACAGCCAAAGCAGCAAACAGCAGCCGAATAATGATACATATTTTTATAAATTGGAGATTGGAATGGGGAAAAATCAGAGAAATCAGTGTTAGAAAGTCAAATAATAAGAACTTTAGTGCAGTTATGATGATGATGGACAAAGTAAGATGCACCAACCTCTTGCCGGAGTGCTGAAACTTTCTAAATCCTACCCACTCCCAAAGGTTTATTTTGATAATTTAAAGGTTAATAAAATCTTTCATGTCTTTTCAAAAGTATTATCTTTAAATTCTGCCACCGTTTATTTCAGAAAGGCAAAATCACACATCCCCTGGGACAAAAAAATATGAAAGTGTATATAAAATAAGATATATACATTTTATATAAAATGTTATATATAAATATATTAACATAATATATAAATATATACTACATAAATATATCAAAACATAAATATTACAAATAAATATAAAATATAAAAGGATTAAAATATTATAAATAAATCCAAATATAAGTATTAAAATAAATATATTAATATATTAAAATAAAAATATATTGTACTAAAATATAAAAATGTATTATGTAATATGATATATAAATATGTATTGCATGAAGTAATAATATATATAAAATAATAAAAGCATATCCTGTGATACAGATTAATTGAATTTTGGTATGTAAAGTTACTTTTAATGGTGATTCATGATTCTGCTAAGGTGGGAAGCTTTGGGGCAATCAGGATGAAGTGAAGACTCAGCTTCTTGAAATCTAGTTCAGTTCTTGTCCTACTTCACACCTTAAGCCAGCCCATCCTAAATTTATCTTGTCTTCTGATTACATTCAAAAATGAATACCAGTGTTTTCTGACTTCTGCAATATGTGAATTTACCTTTCTCTTTATGCAGTCTAATACTAAATGACGGGGTATTAACTGACACACACCTTTTGAAAGTTGAGGGCAAAACTGGTGCTGAGAAGCAAGAAGTTTACATGGAATTAAGTTTTTCATGGATACATACAACTCACAGCAGATTGTCTCTATCAATAAATAGAAAAATTCAAGGCGATTTTGTGTTTTAACTAGCAAATTAAAAAGATTATGTTACTTATAACTTTTATTTATTATGATATAAGGATAAGTAATCTGTAACACCATATGGCAAATCATAGATTGGTGGAATAAAGCTAAATCATTTTCCATCATACTTTTTTATGAAATGTTTAGATTATTGATTTAGTAGATTTTTTCATTTGACCTCACAGTGACCTTCCTTACAAACAAAATGAAAGCTAAAGAAAGAACAAGATAGACACAGAACAATTTTGTTCTTTCTTCCCTGGTCATAATTCTGTATTATATAATATATCATATATCTATGTCATTATTGCCTTAAGATATTGATAGGAAGTCTGGAATGGATCACACTAATAATCATTTACAATTGCTATTTTTTCCCTATCCTACAGCAGCATCCTTAGTACCTTGTAATGTTAAAAGATTGTTATGTTTTTTATAAACAAAATATTTGCAAATGGTTTACAATTTAAAAACACCAGTTTTCCAGTGCAACCAAGATAATAGATATAAAACGATCAATGAAAAAAAAAAAAAAAAGACACAGTTCCCACACAATCAGAATTTGGCCTCACGTATCACTTAAAAAGGATGTTTTTCAAAGTAAGATATTGACTGTAGTAACAGCTGGAGATGGAAGAGAAATACAATATGGTTTCCCTTGTTCTTTATAATCAAAGAAAAGAGACTCCAAAAAAGAAACTATTCATGTTCAACACACAATGTGTTAAGTAAAGCTGAAATTACACCTAATTTTCAATAAGTTGGCAGCTGATTAATATAGATGTGTGGAATATGTTTTTACTGCTCAAATATAAAATGCATTGTCAATTTTAAAATCCACAAGACTTGTCAAAGCTTCAAAGACTTGCAACTCATGCATTTTAGATATTTTTGGAGGTATTTTCAGTTACAAGATGGGGTAGTTCCACTGGGATTGCGCCCATGATTAATATTTGAGATGAAAAGAGAAGACCTTTGAACATCCGAGTACTCTGTCTCTACTATGTTAGGTGCTACCTATGCCCATGCTCCTGCCTTCTCATATATGAGTTGGGGTTTGCTCCTGTGGTATTTTGTAGGTAAATATTCCCAATAAACCACTGAGGCCCTTGGAAAAGATTAAACATTCCAGTTGGATTTGCAGAGACTCAGTTAACTAGTACACAAAGATCGGGTTTCTTTGTCTAGCTATTGAAAATTGACTTTCAGATATTTAGAAAGAAAAACAAGAAAAAGCCAAACCATTTTCTAGTTTGTTTTTTTTAACTATGTCTTCATAGAGTTATTTTCTCTTGTGACCCCAGCAGAGGTTGGTGCTGTGCATTAGGCTAAAAAATAGACAGTTTTATACAAGTGAATCATTCAGTAATTCCCTCTAATGTTTTCTTTGCCAGAGAAATAATCTCTCAGAGGATATAACTCTCGGGATAAAAGTTCTGTTATTTTATCTACTAACCCTAGGATGAAAGTGAGGGTCAGTTTCAGTTCCTGATAGGCATCAGGTTCCCCAGGGCTTTTATGATGAAGTATTAGTAGAAAATACCCATTCTTTGCATATGAGCTGCACAAGTCACATATCGGCCCAATGGGCGTATCAGGGGTGGAAGTTCTAAGGACCTATTTAACTCTATGTATCAGAATAAATCCAGCCAATTCCTGGGCATGATCCTGATCCTCTATGAATGTGATCCTTTTGTCACTGCTACCTAGTGTGAATTGGTCTGATGCAGCTTTGAAACCACTGTCAAGTTGGTTTTACCGGAATCTCTAAAGACTCTCCCCAAGTTTTAGAGTTCCTAAAACCTAGCCTCAAAGCCCAGTTATGCCTTTGTTCAACAAAGCACAACAGAGGCCAATAAAATTATAACTTGAAAATATTCGAAGTAAAAATAATTTTATGCTAACACCATACCATGAAGTCTTTGGTTCATTTTAGCAGCTGACTCTCCTGTACTTTGTCAAAGTATTCTCTCAGATGTGAAGGTTTAAGGAGCACCTACTAAGTAAAGAGTCTCTCCAGATAAATACTGTGTTGTGGTTGTAGCCACATCATAGAAAGTTCACAAACCAGTTTAAGAACATGGGTCTTAACCTTCTCATCTTTCCATAGAAGGAAGAAATATACATATACTGAAAACTTACAGAAGCAGAGGAAAATTGTTTCAATACACATTGCATAGACGCTGAAGAACCCATGTGCAATTAGGTAAGATCCCAAAATGACTGTCTGTAAACGAGTAAAGAAAAGAATGAAAATGTTACTAATTTGTCTAGAAGAACAATAAGGCAACTTTAAATGCATGTCATGATGAGAAAGCTCTGAAGTACTCTATGCTGGAACAGATTTCAGTATAGAAACCAAAACAGAATTCACTGTTAATCTTTTTGAGTATTTTATACTTTCATTTAAAATGTACTACTGGATTGCCCAATACCAATTTTTTTTTACCACTACTCCCAACACCTACCCCAAAACATCCCAGATTAGGATCCTGTATACTGAGGAAGTACAGCGTAGTAGTTGAGAGCATAAATAAGCTGCCTAGATTTGATTCACAGTCCAGGCACTCACTCAACAAGTTACTTAGCCTCTCTGTACCTCCTATATAAATTGTGGGTGAGGGAGAGGAAAATTGCATAAGAATGGTATTTATAGCATATGGATTGAGTGAGTTAATATATTGCAACAGACACCGCAGAGTTCCACCCAGATCTTCTCCAGCTGCCACATCATCGCCCAGTTATTGGAAAAGTAGTCTGCTGATGACTCAGCTGCTCCCTCCTGATAGGGAACTGCCTCACTCAAGGTTACACCCACCCCCATCTGGGAGTAACCCCTGGCCAACAGCTGCCTAATGCAGCATGCAAAGGCCTAGTTCCTTTGTCAAAACTTCCAGTAATTTGCTGAGGCTTCAGCTATAACTGCACTGAGGGGCAGCTTTCCCCACCCCCTAAGTCTTCCCTCCTCACTTCTTTACAAATGTATGTCAGAAGATGTCCAAATAAACCTGCATGTAATCCTCTAGCTCACAGATTGTTTCTAGGAAAGCCAAGTTATAAAGCACAATGAGATTTGGCATCAAGTGAGACAAATAATGTTAGTTCTCATTATTTTATTCCTTCTTGTTTTCCCCTTTTGTTATCTCTGGTAAGTCAGAGTCAATATTACCCAGTTGCTGTGGAATGAATTGTGTTCCTTTCAAAATCCATATGCTGAAATATTAATCCTCAATCTGATGGTATTTGGAAGTGGGACCTTTGGAAGGTAATTAAACGATGAGAGTGAAGACCTCTCATCATCTAAAGGGGATAAGAGGTGACAGGAGAGATGATGTGATAAAGCAAGAATCTATTCCTCAATACCAGGAAGAGAGCCCTCACCAGGAACTGAATCTGTGGGCACCTTGATCTTGGACTCAGCTTTCAGAATTGTGTGGAAAAATTTCCTGTTGTTTGAACTACCCAATCTATGGTTGGTTGGTTTTTTATAGCAGCCCAAACTAAGATACCAGCTCTTACCAACAAAGGTACCCAGTAGTAATTTAAAGTTGTTGGTCCTTCTACAATCATTGGGATTCTTTGTGTGAAGAGGAAGAAGGCCAGGATACCTACATTGACAAGGCAGAACAGGTATTTATGCATTTACAAAGGAATATAGCTTTTTATAGTAAGGAAGTTTTTCTAAGCAGTTTTTAAACATTGTATGATTTTTATCATTAGTACTTACCTATACACCCAGCAACTAGAATTTTCCCCAGGAGTAGTACAAAGTCTGTAAGCTTATCTACAACTGCAACTCTGAGAATCAGAAAAAAGAAAGTATAACTTTGTGTTTAAATTACCTTTGTAATTTGAAATTTATGACAGCTAGTAATTCATGAGTTCATTTTGACAGGTCCTTGGCTGGAATTTTATTTGGTATTTGTTAAATGTAAGAAATTAAGGCAGAATTCAGTGATGAAGCTCTGACTTATTTTTAATGAAGCCAACAGAAGATGGCATTGTAGTACTGTGGAGTGTTATTGGTAGTATCAGCTTCTTTCTATACTTTGAGGCCTAATCGACACCCTTAATTCTAAGGATGCTGAATTTTTTCTCTGATTTTGTTTACTTAGGCTCTCTCAACTTGGGAAAGGGGAATTGGCCAGAGGCATGTACACAATGTTCATATGGGCAACTTCTTGAGTAGAGGGGATAACAAAAATGAAAAAATGCCAGTGAGTATGAAGACATAGATAGATGGTAGAAATCTAGAATAATGGTATAGAGAGAAGATTTGAATCTATCAAATTGAAAGATAATATTCATGTCTAATAAGAGCACCAATGTTTTAAATAATAATATAGGATATGATGCTCAATGTTCACCAAGTTGGCTATTGTAATGTTTGATCTAATTACTTACTTTAAAATATTTCTCATCAGCAGATTGAAAGCATCTCTCGCAGAAATGCAGAAGTTTTTGCCATATATTGCAATCTGAGGAAGACAGCGATATTCTGGAGTAAGTAACATATCCTAATAAGACCAACAGACAGGGCCTCCCCGGGGTGCAGCGGTTGAGCGCTGGGTTGCGAAGCTGCCCGCAGCCTCTGTAGTGCCAGTTCGATTCCCGGCTGCTCCCCGGCCACCAGAGGAGGGTCCCACATGGCGCGCAGACCTCTCCTGCCACCCGCTGCTCCCCTCAGCAGTGTACTTTGGTCCTTCTGCCTGCTCTGCTCCCAGCTTTGGCTCTGGTGAATTCTCTCACCCTCCCGCGCTTCTGACGGTACCCATTATTTTTAATTTATTTATTAAAAATAAATAAATCTTAAAAAAAAAAGACCAGCAGACAATCCATGCAATAACTCTGATTCCTCTTTCCAAAATCTGGGTTTGTGGGAATCCTGTATGTCCTCAATTCTATTGTATAAGCTCTTAGGATCATTGACAATAAGGTATGTTTCAGATGCTATATGCCCTTAAATGCCAAGGGGATTGCATAACATTGAAAAGGGTCTTTTTTTCTCATGAGGACATGATTTCTCTTAACTATATTGGCTAGAATTTGTTGACTGGGTTAAAAGTTACACTGTTCACATTAAAAATTACTCTCAGGAAACCCAATGCCTTTCAGTATACTTCATTCATTAATTGAGGTCCACGATAATATCACTGGAGGTAAATTAATGACTACTTGAATCACTCCTGTTGACCTTGTGTCACCAGATAATAAGAATCAGAAAGCTATAGTTGCTACATTTTAGAATTATAGTTTTGGATGTCCCACTTAAAAAAAATAACTAGAAATTTCACAATCCCATAGGAAATAAATAACAAATCCAGTTAAGTATTGTCAATGTCCACATGTTTTAAAGTGCAAAAAAAGAAACAGAACCTTCCTTAAAAATATGTAAACTCAGAACTAGAAAAATATTTTCTTCTCAAAGTGAGATATAGACTAAGCAAAGTTTTTTCTCATTAAACTATGTCAAAGGCACCCTAAGTCTTTCTTAATCTAATACATTTTTAAATAATATTTTCCTCTTCAAAAAGATACTGAAGGTAGTCCTGACATATGCATTGGATTTACAGATCCTTATTTCAACACAGTGACATATTCAACTGCATGGTGTAAAAGTACTTTTGAGATGGAAGTGTAGACATGGGAGCTGTGTTTACAAAGAAATTTAGTACATAAAAAATAGTTTACTTACCATAACATAGGCATTTCTGTTCAAAAACTTCACTGCTTTGTCTAAGCACCAGAAACAGCAAATCAGGCAGCACTGTAGGAATCTAGCAAAGTTGTTTTGGGCACCTATGAGATGATATTTGAATCTATTAATAGTTTGCAACTAAACTCTATCAAAAAAACCCTTTCAGTGGATTTAATTTTTTTTATTTGTAGCTCTCTCTCTCTCTCTCTCTCTCTCTCTCTCTATATATATATATATATAATTTACCATTTTCATAATTTTACATATAATTCAGTAACATTAAGTACATTCACAATATTGTACACTCATCTTCCATTTCCAGATCCTTCCTCATCTCAAGTAGCAACTCCATACCCATTAAAACAAACTCCTCAGTCTCCCCTTTTACTAGCCCCTGGCAATCTACATTGTATTTTCTGTCTTTATGATTGTGCCTCTTTTAGATAATTTCATGTAAGTGTAATCATACAATATTTGTCCTCTTGTGTCTTCGTTATTTCACTTAGCATAAAGTTTTCAAGGTTCATTTCATTCCTGCTGAGAGCTGAATAACATTCCCGTGTGTGTGTGTGTGTGTGTGTGTGTGTGTGTGTGTGTGTGTGACATTTTGCTTATTCTTTTACCTGTTAATGGAAATTAGAATTGTTTGTACCTCTTGGCTATTGTGAATTTGGCTATGGTAAACATTGGTGTGCAGGAATTTGTTTGAGTCCCTGTTTTGATTATGTATCTAGAAGGAGAATTTCTGGATCATGTGCAGTTCAATTTTTTCTTTTTGAGGAACTGCCATACTATTTCCCATGGGGACTATCCCATTTTAAATCCCCACCAGCAATGCACAAGGACTCCAATTTATCCTCACCTTATGAGCACTTGCAATTTTCCATTTTTTTAATATGTTTCTTTAAATGTGTGTAAAGTGTCACCTCATTATGATTTTGATTTGTATGTTTTTAATGACTAATATTTAGCATTTTTTCTTGTGTTTATTCACCATTTGTATATATTTGTCAGAGCAACATATATACAAATCCTTTGTGGGAGGGACCAAAATGGTGACATAGGAGGTTCCTGAATCTTCCTCCTCCCACAGATGCACCAAATATACAACATGGAGCAATTTCTACTGAAAGAACTACAGAAGGTAGCTGAGTGAACCCCTACATATCAGGCAACCTACATTGAAACAGCGGGAAATTTTGAGACACACTTGCATAAATCCCTTCCTTGGCACAGAACCATACAATTCAGACAGAACCTCCAACCCTCAGCTTCCTCCCTAAGGAATGAGTGGCTTGGACAGTACTTTTAAGTTTCCAAATTTTAAGGCTCCCAACTAGGGGATGGAGCTCTATATACCTATGTCTGCAAGCTACGAGTCTCAAATGACTATAGAATACAAAACCGAAAAAAAACCAGTTCTTAACAGGCACGCATGCTAATACTTATTCTGCTATTGCCCCGGAGCTTAGCACAGAAGGAACAAGTGAAAATGCCCATCATCCAGTCTTTCCCCAGGAGAGAGCTGACTGAATACTTTACAACCTGCTGCCTGAGGGTTTGTCTTCTAATTTGTGTGACGATAGGGGCTAGCTGTGATTTTTCCATGGAGCCCAAGGAGGCTAATGGACACTTCTGCTGCCTTCTCCCTCTAGCTCACTCCAATTATAAAAGTAGGTCACCAATGTCTCTCTGGAAGGAGCTTGTACACATACCTGGTGCCCAAGATTTCCCAGCTGCTGTGCAAGGGGTGGTTCCTACTTTGCATATCTTATGAGTGACAGGGGTTTAATACCCAAAATATCCAAAGAACTTATAAAACTCAATAATAAAAAAAAGCCAATTACAAAATGCAAAGAGGTTCTGAACAGACACTTCTCCAAAGAAGGTACACAAATGGCCAGTAGGCACATGAAAAGATGTTCATCACCTCCTATTAAGAAAATTTAAATCAAATCAATAAGCCACCAACTCACACTTGTGAGATGGTTATTATCTAAAAGATAAGAAACAATTTTCAGAAAGGATGTAGAGAGAAGGGAACCCTTATACACTGTTGGTGGGACTATAAATTGCTGCAGTCATTACAGAAAGCAGTATGGAGATTCCTCCAAAAGCTAAAGATAGAAATACCATATGATGCAATTATCCCACCTCTAGGTTATTTACTCCAAAAATACAAAAACACTTACTCAAAGAGAGATCTGCACCACCATGTTTATGACAGCACTATTTCCAATAGCCAACAAGAAGAAACAACCTAAGTGCCTACTGACTGACAAATGGATAGAGAAGATGTAGTATATACACACAGTTCTATCCAACTATAAAAAATGATGAAATCCTGCCTTGTGCAACAACATGGATGCAACTGCAAGGTTACTATGCTTAGTGAAATAAGCCAGATGGAGAAACATATATTTTGAGCCTGACCGGTCCTGAGCTCTAGAATTGAAATGACTTGACATCTCCACTGTGCTGTTCAAAATTAACAAGTCAAAAAAAAATTCAGGGCCTCCCCGGTGGCGCAACGGTTGAGCGCTGGGTTGCGAAGCTGCCCGCGGTCTCTGCGGAGCCGGTTCGATCCCCGGCTGCTCCCCGGCCACTGGAGGAGGGTCCCACATGGCGTGCAGACCTCTCCTGCCGCCTGCTGCTCCCCTCAGCAGTGTACTTCAGTCCTTCTGCCTGCTCTGCTCCCTGCTCTGGCTCTGGTGAATTCTCTCACCCTCCCGCGCTTCTGACTGTACCCAGTGCATGTATAAACAAAAGAAAGAAAGAAAGAAAGGAAAGGAAAGGAAAGGAAGGAAAGAAAGAAAGAAAGAAAGAAAGAAAGAAAGAAAGAAAGAAAGAAAGAAAGAAAGAAAGAAGAAAGAAAGAAAGAAAGAAAGAAAGAAAGAAAGAAAGAAAGAAAGAAAGAAAGAAAGAAAGAAAGAAAGAAAGAAAGAAAGAAAGAAAGAAAGAAAGAAAACATGCCTCTATTAAAAAAAAAAAATTCATCTTTGAAAATTTCTCATGCTGTTTCTGCATCTTAGTAAAAAAATAGCTCCTACTATTTCTCTTTTTTTTTTCCACCATATTCCTCTCCCCTCTGTTTATCATTCCTTACCCCCGTTATAGCTAAGCTCTCAAAAGAACAAGTTCTGATCTTTCCCTTCGGAAATATATCCCCAATCTGATCATTTATATGCTAATTACTTTGTCCAAATTGCAGTCAAGTTGTATCCCCCAACTCCCTGCCCCAATCTATTCTCTTCATAGATGTCAAGGAGCCTAAGAAAAGATGAATTCTGGAATCTTACCTTTAACACGTCTCTCCATATATTCTATGATATATTTAAAGAATTGGATTATTGCAAGAATTAAAGCTCCAAATGCTATGGATCCTGTGTGATATCTGGGCAAAAATAAAATGAGGATAAAAGTTAAAATATTTTACATTAACTAAAAGGATGTTGGCTAAGCAATTGATACAAGTAAAAGATGTGCAGAAAGATTGATTGGAAAGAGCTTCTTACACTCTTTTATTCAGATTGATAAAGTTCTCCATAGAGGATTTTAAAATGTGTACATCTTTCACCCTTCATCTATAGAAATGACACCAATAGTTTGCCATCATAAAACAGGATGTTTGAACCTACCAATGGAAATACTGAGCCAAGTTAATCTTTGATCTTTAATTTTTCCCTTCCCTGCTTTTTTTCCTCTTCAGTAACTTAAGGCTTTTACAAGGATATTGACCTGATAGAGATTATGAAAATGTGGCTATAAAACCAGACAAAGGCAAAGCCATAGACATCAAAGAATCTTTTTTTTTTTTCAAAAAATCTTGAATAAAACGCTGACCTTATTTGCACCTTGCACTTGAATTATAAGTACTAGATTAAATTATAGATACACTAAATATTACTGGGAAGATAGATACACGGTTCAGTGTGGATCTTACTTACCGTATGGCTCTTCCAAAGGAAGTAAAAAGTGGACATGGTGGGAGGTCGTCAGGTTTTTTCATGGTCCAGTAATAAGTTGCAAAGGCACCAGCAAGGGCGCACTGACCCAATGCAATGACAAAGTTGATAAGCCAGAGAAAGACAAATAGATTGAATATCTGGAAGGTACCGATATATTGATGGTACAGGGTCGATCCACCATAGAAAGCAAAGTTACACCGAGCCCCAGGGCAAGTTCTGGAGATATCGGTTCTATTAAAAACCTGCACTCAGGGAAAAAAAACACACACACATAGATAATATAATATTAAATGCTATTCCAAGACAATACCTTCTCTGTCTTCTTATCTTGTCTAGTCCCCTAATTGCGTGTCCTGCTTTTTTTTCCTGTACTCTTCTGTTGTTTTTCCTTTCTGTCACACATCACTTTATCAATTTCTATAATGAGCTCTGAAAAGTATCTCATTTTCCATCATAAATTTATCATTCTGCACTTACTATAATTTCACATTTATTAGTGCTGTTTTTGACCATGTCTGCTTCTTAGGTTATATAATGGGACAAATGCAGTCACACAACAATAGTACTTTCTCTTTATTCTGCCCATGTCTTTCTGTGCTTTTCTGCTAACACCTGACCTACCTCCTTTCTCCTTTCGATAGTTCTGTCCCCACTAATGCACACAGTCTCTATTTCAGCGTAATTCCTACACTGCTAGATAAAATGTAGTAGACTTTCTGTTGAAGTAAATAAATGAGAGATGTTCTTCTACTTACCTCTGGGTCACAGGTATCATTTTCAAATTTACATTGCCCCTGTGTGGTTACGACTTTATATACAGGTTCCCCTGCTGTAGCCAAGTAACTGAATGAGTCTGTTAAGGGTAAATCATTTGCTGGTAGACTGAAAGTAAATGGACATTAAAATAATGCAAATAACAACAGCCCCTTGAGTGATTAACTTTTAAAAACTCCTAATTTAATAGTTCATCCATTTTTTAGCTCAAAGTAAATAACAGATGTTAGTGACATGTAGTGGCCCTTTAAAAACAATAACATATATTGGAGCCTCCTTAGGTTGTTGCTAAGAAGAAAGGGAAATAAAACAAAATCTACCATATTTCCTATTTGAAGGGAAATTCAATAAGTATATTGAAACTCTTAGAGATTGGCAAAAATAAATAAATAAATAAATGAAAGGAGTTATTTCTCTAGGAGATTTCTCTTCCCAAAGTGGAAAACTCTGGGCACAAATTCCCAGTTTTTGATTAGTAGTGTGGACCTAGATTTTAAAGAGGTCCGTTCAAAGGATACATTGCTATCACAGCCCAGTATGAAATGCAGATTGAGAGGAAAATGAAAGTCAAAAATGGATAAAATAATGTAGTAGGGATATATCCAATGGCTCTGAAATAAAATAAATAGTTAAAAATCAAAATGATCCAGAACTGTAATTTCTCAATTAAAATTTTATGTTAGAACTAGAAATAAATCTTAACTGAATTAGTTCTAAGAACAGTGGTAATAACAACTGACACTTTTTTACTGATCATTTTGGCATAGTGTTGGTTTCAAAATTTTATTTATTTTTCATGAATTAGAGACATTCAAGTAGTGTTCATGCTTGATTCATGCTAAAGTTCACTAAGTTCTTCTTTTAATTCATAAATATTTGATACAGTATCATCATGATATGTTTTCCTTTCCTTTAGATGCTTAGTCTTTTAAAATTGGAAGGGACCTTGAAGATCATCTAATCAAGTGTGAAAATCCCTTCCTAATTCAGAAATCCCTTCTGTATAATCTTCAAAATCTATTCATTAGCCTCTGTGACCACATTGAGTGATAAGGAACTTGTTTATTTTTTTTTTTTATACAACTCAACTTATTCTAATTTCTTAACAACCCTAGTATTGGAAACTCTATTTAAAGTTCTTCTGCCTTTTAACTTATACCTGCTACCTTCTGGAAAGGAAATCAACTACCTTCTCCATACAGCAACACTTAAAGTAACTTTTTATTCTTTTCTTTCCTCCAGGATTATAAATTCTTTGATATTTCTCCATAAGACAGGATTTCTGAAATGTTCACCATCCTTCTTGCTTTGTTCCAAAATACTTCTGAATAATCTTTTCAGTATGACACTGGAACAAAACCAATAGTGTTTGATACTAGCCCTAAAGAACTGGTGACACTATACCCATCTCTTAATGCCTTGACACATCTTAGATTTCTTTTGCAGTTCCCTTCTTCACTATTTAAGTTCTTTTCTCCTTTCTCCAAACACTGATGTTTACTGAATAATTGGACATCCTTGTGTTTACCTAGTATTCTCACACCCTTTGTAGTTCTTAATTTTCCCTTGAGCAAACCATCAACTAGTCACAGTTGGAAGGTTTTTCTCACACACACACACACACACACACACACACACACATGCACACATGCACATACATTTAGAAGGTAATAGTAGGACAAGTTATAATGAATTGCATATATCATATTATTTCAGAAATATATTCAGCAAATCAGTAGGTATTTTTGGTGAGTGACAGGGACTTCAGTTTTTGTCTGAAGGAGAGAGTTTAACAATTTAAACCACTGGCTTCAGATGGCACTATTATTATTAGAGATGGCAATACTGTTAAAATAATTCTTAAGACTATTTAAAATAATTTGGTTCTTTGTCATTGGCAACTTTGTTTTTATCATTTGAAACAGATAACATGTTTTATTGGCTAAGCATAATGCTTTCTTTGTTTTTTTTCCAAGCATTATTCAAAAATTTGAAGTATTATCTTCAAGTGACCTTTTGGAATAGTTTGCAAACTATAGGTAATTACCTCACAGCATGAATTTTATGAAAAGTGTAGTGTTTATTTTATAGTATTTTCAAATAAAAATATAATGTATTACTGAATTAAGAGTAGAAGATACAAAATGTATAGTCTGGTGCTACTACGATCAATTATTTTGTCTATAGAAAATTTCGTTACTCATATAGAAATGGTAATAGCATATAATTGACTTTACAGGATTATGGTGATTTAAAGTTCTATAAATGATCTCAAGCATTAATTTTAACACATGAGTCAGTATGGGAATAACACAGTATGTAATATAACTAAATTTTATGTAGTACTTGATCACTTACTTTCACATATGTTATTCTTCTAGCATAAATTTGGTGTTTAAAAAGGGCTAATACATAGACTTTTAACCTTATTTTAACCTCTGATAATTGAAGGTTGATGATATTGAAAGACTGACTTATTAGCATGGCTTTTCTAATATGTGGTATTAGATCTTAAACAAGTCTTCAATGGAGAGCAGATTTTCTTAACAAGTCTTCTTAAAGGAAATAATAGTCTGGGGCATCAACACAATGGGCAGAAACTGACTGGAATGACTGGTACACATATTCAAGTCTCTCCATCAGGGTCTTACTTGCTCCCTTCCTTCAGCAGGGCTATGGAGATGCGAATTCGGTCCCTGAGGAAAATCAGCATGATGATAACAAGCACTTCAAGGATGCAGAGTGCTATCACTTTAAACAGAAAAAAAAAAAAATCACATGTGATACAAAACAATCCAAAACGCAAACTTTCTCTGCAAAAAGTTACAACAGAGCATCATGATCAATTCCGACATGTCATAATTTTAACAAGAATACCAATATTAGAAATTCTCTTTCACAACCTCCAAGAAGTGCTAGTAATCTAAACAGAAATGTTTAGCTAGAGTCTGCACAATTCAACTGGACAGTCTTCATTTTATTTATATAAACATTCCACATCATTTACAGAAATGACAGAATAAGCATGGGAGAAAGAAAGGAAGAAAGATGATTTAAGTAGCTCTATCTTAGATGTTTCATGCTTACTTCATTGAGTAAGTGAATTATTACAGAAGAAAAATTTTGAGCCATCTACCCTGCTCACAGCACCTCTCAATTAATTGATCTTGTTGATTGCAAGGGCAGCCTCTTAGCTGCCACACTTTTACTTGCGACCCCACCCATCATAGCCATCATAAATCAGTGTAAACCCAGCATGAGTTGTCTAGTAAAAGTCTCAAATTTACAACCAAGGAAATCTTGTTCAGTTTCACATTGAAATTTATATAGCTCATCAAGTAAATATTATACAAACATAATAGGTTGTGTCAAAATAATCTTTATGTTAAGTAAATGAATCTGCAAAGATAAAATGAAGTGTATTATATGGGTATCAGGAAAGAAGAAAGAGAAGAAATCTTGATATGTTTTTGTTTTTTTGTGTCCTGGATCCAGGCACAACTGAAAATCCAGTTAGCTGTCTTTTTATATTTTTGAATTAATAAGGCACTTATATGTTGTTATAACAAATGCCTTGCCCCGAGCTTGTTCCAATTTTCTTTTCTTATCAGCTAACTTGAATTGATTTCTGTCTACTTGAAGGCAAATAGTTTTAATTATTATATCTCATTAATTCTAAGACACACCTTTAATTTAGTAATAACTTTTTAGGAAAAGTAAAAATATCCTTTATTAAATATCTACTCATTGATTTTAAGATGCTTCCTGACTACAAAGAGGTCAAAAAGTCAAAAGGTGTGAAATCTAAAATAATGAAATACAGAATTCTAAATAACATAAACTGAAATTTCAAAAGGAACTTAATGGAAAGTTAAATTCCCACCCATGAAAGGATATCTTCAATAAAATCCTTAATAGGCATTTATTCTACTCATGCCTGAACATCTCCAGTGATGGGGAATTCATTATTTCATTCTATGGTTATACAACTAATATTCCGATGTTACACACACATCCTGGAATTATATCTCAAAATATGTAGAAATCATTTAACCCAGAGATATGGGAGGATCTTAGCATTCTTGTACATTTGATTAGTTTAAAATACTAAATTGAGTCCAAAAATAGTAGATGCAACTATATTAAGCTGAAATCACTATCTTTGGATAAACTAAGAGTGTGAGATATATCAGGATTTCTTCATTTTCTGAAATTGCTTTGATGAAAATATAGTATATTAAACTTCCACCTTTATAGAATTATATACACAAAATATTATGTTACAGAAATTTATCTTTCTTTTGAACTTATATTGGCTTATATCCCTTCCTTGTATTTGAATGAGAGAAAAATATTGAAACATATTTATAGCAGCTAGTATAATTATAACTTCAGAGGAGGAGAGTAGGATAATTGATAGCAGAAATGAGAACAGAGCCTTCTCCTAACACAATTCAAGACTCATAAAGATTATTGTTTTTGTATGTGTAACTTTTCTTATTTCCAGTGTCTGTGCCAATGAGTGTAATTTCACAAGTAGGCCCTTGCATCTGTTTCCTAGAGTTTTGTCCAGATACAGAGCAAATAATCAATATATGAGAAATGGTTTATGAAAATTGAGGCTCCTTTGAGGAAAGATTAGTATTGCTAGACTTGAAAATAGAAGCAAATTCTGTGTTATCATCCCCAAAATACATCTCAGTTATTCCAATGGCAGTTTCTGATCATCTCGATGAGTTTTGTGTGGAAGGCCCTTAAGACTCAGCAGATGACCACTGAACTTGTAACTAAGAACCACTGGAGAGTAAAACTAGATAAAGACTTCATGATGGATGAAACTCATCATCTTTAGAAATGATGGCTAACAGTAAGAGGATTGCTGAGGGGATATGGAATCCCTCAAATTAAGGGAAAAGTGATGAGGAGGAAAGTACTAAGATGCCGGATGTTTATGGTTAATTTCATAGCCTAAAAACAGAATTTTTTTACAGCATATTTGAAAAATGTTACATGAAGGGAACTAAGTTTGCATGAGAGCTAGAAATAGGGAGGCAAAGAACAAAGACTTAATTTTTTGATCTAACACTACCAAAGGTAAAGAGAAAACTAAATGTGGCAGACAAAGGAATCTAGTCGGGGTTTCTGGGCTGCAAAACTTAAGCATGGTATGAGCCTAAAGAAGCAGCTGTCAATAGTACCCTAGGCCCTCTGCTAAAAAAGCTCCTCAGAAGTAATGTATGCCTTGATCCAAGAAAATGTTGTCCTGCTTGGGAAATGTCTGCATACTGGTCTCAGGGAGAGTATCCCAATAGTGTAAACAAATCAAATGGTGACATAAAGTGAGCCTGTCTTGGAAACATGATGGCTTCTGTGTGAAGTGGCAAAATCAAGTTTTCAAATTTAGAGTGGTAGGATGCATACCTGAAATCATGATGCCCCCCCAAGATACTGCTCCCCTCTCAGCACTCTCTGGGACTCCTTACCAGGCTTTCTTGAATATATCTTTCCTGACTCTCTAATTTCAACAATACAAAGATGAATTTTTTAAAGCAACGTCTAGTTAGAGGTTATTTTTAAAATCTTGATTAAAGAACATGAATCTCTGTGTAAGAGTACAAGGAATATTATAACCATTCTAAGAATATAAGGTTAAAGCCATCTCTGAATTCATCTTGCTTTAAAAATTGTTGTTACTATCACCCTTGATATTTCCTTTAAAATACCTTCTTGGATATTAAGCTTTAAAGTTCCACAGCCAAGCCATTTTAAGTTGAAGGCAAATAACTTGAGATCATTGTAAAGTAACATTTTCTTAGATTATATGCTAATTTTCCCTCCATAACTTTCCTACTTAATGTAGCTAGTAGGATTATAGACACATTTATATAATGACTAGTAATAAGTATAATTAACAGGTTACACAAACCTAAGTTTCCCTTTAGACAAAAGAAATGCTTTCTCAATATTGTAATTTTAATAAAACAAATTTTTAAAATCCACTCACTAAATGCAAACCACGTCTGTTTCAGTTGAAAGTACATGCTTAAGTCAATCTGAAGCCCGATGTCATATACAGTTAACTGAGAGTTTGGCTTTCCCTGAAGTTTGCAGTATTGCTGATAACAGTGCCATATTCCTTGAAAAGGAAAGAAAAACAGACTAATATGAAATGTTATTTTCTGAGATATAAGCTATACACTTAGCACGTGTATCTACAAGAAACTAATTAGCATGGTCATTTCTACAATGGCAAAATTCATATATACACAGTAAATTTTTTGCATCTAAGAATTTAAATATACTACTGTAATAAATATCAATATTTTCAGGATTTGTCTAATATCATGGCAAAATCTTGCCTTAAATGTCCTTTGACTATCGGCCTCCCTGGTGGTGCAAGGGATTAAGATGCAACCTATGAAGCTATCTGCAGCCACTGTAGCACAAGTTTGATCCCCAGCTAGGGAGCTACCCAGATGGCGCAGCAGACCTCCCCTGACTCACCCACTGCTCCCCTCAGCAGTGTATTTCAGTCAGTCTGCCTTTTCTGTTCCCCACTCTGTCTCTGGTGAGTCCTCTCACCCTCCCACACATGTGGCCTGTACCCCGGTTCTTACATAGATAAATCTTTTAAAAAATGCTTATAAAAATAATGAAAAAATAAAATGTTAAAAAATCTTTTGACTAGAAACAACCTTTATGACCATCAATAGGAAATGATTAAACAAATTATGCTAGAATGCTCTACTGCTATGTAAAGAAAACAGAGTCTAGTAATATGATCTCTCTGATATTTTAAGTGAAAAGAACAAGGTACAAAATTATATTAAAAATATGCTCTTATTAGTACAGTAAAGAAAACAATATATATTTGTTCTTCCTTCTATCTTAAAGAAGAAAACAAAAAAATTCTACTCTTTCTCCATCCATAGACCAATTTCTTGTTCCTCATAGTATAAAGCTCTCCAAAATAGCCATTTATATTTTCTGTTTATAATTTCTCTCCTCCCACCCTCTAATAATCTACTCTAATCAGACCTCTCCCTCATTATTCTACCAACTCTATCTCTCCACATTTCTAAATCCAAAGTCAGTTTTCATCTTTGTTAACCTCTGAGCCAGATTTGACAAGGTAGATCAATCCCTCCTTTCTTCATAGGCTTCTAGAACATCATTTCCTTTTTGTTTTCAAAAAGAACTGTTCAATTCCAGTTGTTTTGCTGGTCCTGTCTTTCTCCCTGGTCATTAATGTCAGAAGAAGTCGGAGCTCAGTCTATGCTGCAATCTTTACCCATTTTCATGTCTCATGCCTCTAACAATCCTGACTCCTAAATATGTTTCTTAAATTAGCTCTTTTCTCCCTCAAAGTCAGACTGCAGATTCAACTGCAGATTTAACATCTTCATTTTCATGCCTCAAACTCAATAAACATTTCAAAATCAACATGTCCAAAATTAAACTTCCAATCAATCCCATTTCCACACCAAGCCTGATCCACTCCAACCATCCTTATCTCAGTTGATGGTAACTCCACCTTTCTAATGGTTCAGGTTGAAACCTTTGAAGTCATTTTTGAATTCTTACTTTCCCTCATGAGTTGCAGTCAGTCCATCAGGAAATTCAGTTAGTTCTACATTAAAAAAAAAAAAATCTGCCTATTCTCATTGCTATCATTTTGGCTGAGTTTTACTCATTTATACCAGGATTACTGCAATAGCCTTCCTACTGGTCTCACTGATTCTACTGTATAAAAAAAATATTTATGTATTTTTACATCATTGTTCATTTTGTACAAGGTTTGATTGCTCTTCTCAGGTGTTGCTCCCATAAAATTACCACCACCAAGATACCTGTGAACCATCACCACAGACTCTTGTGTTCCTCCCTCCTGTTTTGATCCCTTTTCCTGCCCCCCTCCCCTGATGAATGTCTCCAATTTATAGTTTGACTGCTAGTTTTGTCTCCCCCTCCCCCCCATGGATCCCTTGTATGGTTTCCCTATATTCTTCCTATAAGTGAAACTGTTCAATATTTTTCTTTTTCCTTCTGATTTATTTCACTGAGCACAATCCCTTCCAGCTCCATCCATGTTGCTGCGAATGGCATGTTTATCTTTTTTGATTGCCAAGTACTATTCCATTGTGTATATATATATATATACCACATCTTCTTGATCCAGTCATCTGTTTGGGGGCATTTATGTTGTTTCCCTATTTTAGCTATTGTGAGCAGTGCTGCAATGAACACAGGATTGCAAGTATCCTTTCGAATTAATGTCTTTGTGCCCTTTGGGTAGTTTCCGAAGGAGTGGAATTGTGGGGTCATATGGTAGATCCATTTTTAGTAATTTGAGGGTCCTCCACATGGCTTTCCATAGTGGATGGATCAGTCTGCATTCCTGTCTCATTGCTTCTACTCTTGCTTCACTACAGTTTCTTCTCTACCCAGGGGCTTCAGAGCCCTGCAATGCCTCTCCATTTCACTCAGAGTAAAAGGCAAGATCTGATAATAACCTACGTGTTTCTGACTTTCATGAATTCTATAACCTTCTTTTAATTTTCCCCTTTACTCTGCATACACCCACCCATTCTATACATTTCTTCAATATACCCTGCCTTTGGCCTTTGTTCTAGTTGTGCTCATGGTATAGATCTTTCCCTTAACTCCAGTGGCTAATTCTATGGCCTCCTTTAAGGGTTTTCTTAGATCTCTTTTCAAAAAGGCCTACCCTGCTAATATAATTTGCACTCTTTGCTCTAACATGATAGACTCAATCCCCTTTTCCTGTTCCACTTTTTCTTCTTTCCATAGCAAACATCACCTTCTGACAGATAATTTGTTTAGGTTATAAACATCAGGAGAGTAAGAACATCTCTGCCTTTTGTTTACTGCTATATCTCAAAAGCCTAGAAAAATACCTGTACATGGAAGTAGCTACTTGATATTTGTTGAATGAACAAATAAAAGAATGAAAGACTAGATATGGATGTCTCTTCCCTTATTTTTCTTGGTATAGTTAGAACTTCCTATATCTATGGATTCATATCTTTTATCAATTCTAGAAAATTCTCAGCCAATAACTTTCAAATATACTGATAGGTCCTACTAGGTCCTACTCAACCTATTCTCTAGTTCTCTTATCCACACCACCATATTCTGATCCTTTATCAGATTCTGCTATATTTTGGATAATTCAAATTAATCTTCCCATTTATCAATGCTCTATTTTGCTATTTATCAATGCAATGTTTAATCTATTATTTTACATTCTATTTGGTTCATCTTCATGCATGCCTGGACATTTATTGATGATTTCTTATTTTTTAAATTCCATCACTAATTTTTAAACATTTTATACATGGTTTTCCACATTATTTATTGATTTCCTTATCTGGTATATTGGGATAGTCCCATGTTCTGATCTCTTGTTTATGGTTTCTGCTGTTTCTCACAAAAAGACAATGTCCTTGTATGTTTGGTCCTCTTTGATTGAGACCCAAACTATATGTGACTTAAACTTTGGGCATTTTTATCTAGAAGGGTTATCCACTTGTTTCTCTTGGCAGCCAAAGAGTACTACCAAACTGGGGTCACTGTACATGCTTTTCTGGATTCTGGATGTAGTCCAGGAGTTTCAGGTCTGATCCCCTCCCCTGCTGCTGGCCCTGAAATAAGCCTCCTGATGGAAGCACTGGTGTGGGCTACCCAGTGTTTCACACTTGCTATCAGTTCATTTCCCTACTTTAATTTGAGCTCGAGGTTTCTTTCTCTTTCAGGGAAATTTCCTTTATTTCCTGAAATTCATAAAAAACAATAAACTGTATAAGACAATACAATACTTTTTTATGTCATTATTTTATAGCAAGATGGTATGTCACACTACTTAGCTGGTGGGGATGTGAAAGTCTCAGCAGTGTTTTCCTATTTCTTTTACTATTATTTTCCTTCTCCTGTCCTAGCTTTTTTCTTTCAAGGTATCACTCCTATGTTTCAAGTCCTCTTTCTTCAACATTACTCCTACATGACAAGAACAAGAGAGACTATTTGTTGAAAAATTACTATATGCTAGGCTTCTTTTTGAGTGCTTTTATGTGCTCTATTTTATTTAATACAAGTTCTGATTGTATAGCTGTGGAATCTCTGAATTAGAGAGACTATGTACTTGCAGAGAATCACACAGTTAATATGTGATGGATCTGGAACTGGGTCTTTTTCAATCTCCAAATCTGTTTTTGTTACCTGGTGTTCTATCTTCTCCCGTGTAACTATTAACTTGGATACCTGCCCACACACAGTCTGGCTTTTTCTCTGCTCAGTATGGCACATTCACATTGTCCCTTGTCCTAGGAACTAAGCTAATGTCTACATGCCATTGGTTTCTCATGATATCAAAAGCTGGCTGTCCAAGATAGTAGCAGAGGCCACTCACATACAGTTTTACTTATACTTCCTGATCTAGTTGGACACTTCACCACCCAATGAATAGCTCCAAGCTTACATGGAGTTTAGCGCTACCTAGGGAGTCAATAGGGGGCTGAACTTCATTGTCCTACCTGCACTTTTTATAAATTGACCATCTATTCCCCTTTTGTTGCTTTGAGATTAACACTATAACCCAGTCTCAGATTTTTCTTGCTTCTTAAGACAAATCAGTGAAACATTCATAGACATTGTTTCTCTCTCCTTCTTTGATGACAATAAAAGAGTGATTGAATCACATGCACAGACTGACAGTGACAAAGGGAAGGGGTTATTTTGAGCAAAAAGAGGAAATACAAATAATTTTAAACAAAATGCTTTCTTGGGAGTTTCTGATTAGGGAGCTACAGTTCTTGTGTCATCTACCAGCCTGACCCACCTCTTCATGGGCAATTACACAGGAGGAGCTGATAAGGAGAACCTGAAGAGACTTGAATGACTGTCTAGAAATGCACTGAGGATAACAAAGATGACCAAAACAATATTCAACACACAAGGAGCACTGACTGTATTCCAGGCACTGTTCTAAAGGCTTTATATTCATTATCTTGTTTAGTCCTCACAATCTTGTGATATAGAGATACCATTATTGTGTAGATGTTATGGATAAGGAAACTGGGTCTTAATGAGCAGCATTTTCAAAGTCACTCAGTTACATGTCCTGGAGCTGGGATTAGAACTCAAGCTAACTACCAACTACCAGTGGGAACTCCACTGCATTCTTAAATTGATTTGTGTAAAGCTCTCCTTCCAGTGCCAGAAACAGGAAATTGCTATGGTCAATACAAATGGTGTTATAGGGAAATTCCTTCTTTTGATTTTGAGCTGATAAACTTCTTTGGAATCTTTGAGAAACTTCTCAAACATTCAAGTATTGACCTATACATTTGTTAAAAGACAGAAAGTATGTGCTATACTGTTCTTTAGGAGAAACTTTAGTTCCTTTTTTTAGTGTTCACACTATGTAACAATACTGCTTTAGCAGGACTTGAATTAGTGGTGAGATTTCAACTTTGTAATAGGTAATTCTCTATCCAATGAGTGTAATTCAAAATATTTGCCTCTAGAGGGTGATACCTCATTATGGAGTAATGGCCAATTACAAAAACATGTGACAGAACAGGGATTTAAAGTACCAAGTTGAAAGGGAAAAACAGATCACACTTTAACTATGCAGAGCTGGCTTTTGATCAGGTAGAAAAACTAAAGGAATAAAAAGATTTCACTGAAATATTTTTCATTAACCTAAAAGGGATTCTTTTTATCTCCTTTTTAATTTTGATTTTAACCTGAGAATCTTCCTTGGAATCTTTTGAGAAGCTTCTCAAACATTCAAATATTGACCTATGCATTTGTTAAAAGACTGAAAGGATGCTTCCATAAGTGCTATACTTTCACCTCACAGCACGAGGTGTGAGAAAAAAGGCTGGTAGGCAAAAATAATAGAACTTTTTTGGGGGGGCATTGACCACATGCTGGATTTTTGTTTGTTACTGCAGTTATTTTAGTTACAACACTGAATATGTTATAGCTGTATAGATTCATATCACTTCGAATGTATGTTACCACAACACACCAACCACCAAGGCACCCATCGTCCTTCACCACAGTCCAGGAGGCTCCTTCTATCCCTTGCTCCTACTCCTTCTCCCCCTCTAGTTACAGTAGCATTAGTCTTACAGCAGGATTTCAAGTGTAGGCTTGGTTTTGTCTATTCCTTTGCTTATTTCTTTATAAGAATAGAACATTTAATAGCACTTATTTTAAGATAAATAAGTTAAAGACACAAAATATGCCAAATTAAATACTTTTGTTAACACTTTTTGGGGTAAAGAATAACTAAATTCACTGCAAATAAAATGCTTTGTGGTGATTGGTAATGGCAACTGAAAATAAAGTTTTGATAGTGAAGATTTTAAGATGGGTAATACCTACCATAGCCTATAATTCCAATTACACCCAACACGAAGACCCAGAAGAGGAATCCAGCTGTATACCTCAGGAGTATCACAAACAGCCAACTGAGGAACATGGCGATAGTGAAGCCACTAGAGGATAATATGCACAATAAAACAAGGGTCAAAAGTGCTAAGCTTATCAAAAAAGCAAGACAACATTTTTCTCTGTTCAAAATGATTCTTAGATTATCTTCTTTTACCTAGACACAGAAACATTTAAAAAGTATAATTAGGGCCTTCCTGGTAGCCTAGGATGCTATTACCTCTATGGCCTGAGTTTGATCCCTGGCCAGGGAGCTAACCCACATATGGCACAGCAGACATCTCCCTGTATCACCTGCTGCTCCCCTTAGTAGTATATTTCAGTCATTCTGCCTGTTCTGCTCCCCACTCTGTCTCTGGTGAATCCTCTCACCTCCTCCCTTGCCCCGAACCTCTGCCCTACACCCTGATTCTTCTACACACAAAAAAGTATAAATAATGGTTTCTATTAACTTTAATATAGAAGAATAGAACATCAGAGACCTTCTACATGTGTCACCTATGTATGCCCAGGTCAATCACAGTCCAGTATCAATCATTATTCAAGAAAAGCACAATTCCACCAACCTACAATTTTGACCTCTCTGCCACAGTAACCAACTTTAATTTTTTCCTTATTACAGGAAGTCATACACTGTAAAATATATTCAAATTGAATCTGTGCTGCTCTATATACCTGGTAATTAATAGAAATCTTCTGCAGTATGACTGTCTAGAATAGTTAGAATCTAGAACTGTCTAGAACAAGGGAATAGTTTGGGGCAGAAAGACAAGAGAAATAACTGACCCACACAGCTACTGAATCCATGACTTTGTAGTTATTATCACCATAGCCTAATTAACTCTAATAATTGGTGATGCCTGATGTTACCACACATCTATTTGGAGCAATGATAAGGCTTTTGTTTTTCCTGGGCAATGTAATTTTACGATGCAATCAAGAGCATAACTATTTTCCTTCTGTTTTAATTCCTTTCTGGGATTTGATAAGCTACTAGAGATACTTCTGTTCCTTACTCCACAACATATATCCAAATTAAAGTCCTGTTGGATTCTTTTTGATAATTTCATCAAAGCAAATTCATTAAACTTGGGAAATTCATTGATGTTTCTATTAAAAATGGACATCTCTAGCACTATCAGCAAGTTTCCAAATGTAGCAACAGACAGAGACTGGTACAATTATTGATTTTATTATCTTTAAGTGTTATCTTTAGAAACAAAATCTTAATAATCATTATCAATGGATAGATGACAACATGGTATCAAAGTACCTTTTCAAGTCACAATTTTGCAGAGTCTATGATTTAACTTCAGAAGCCACTCCCTTATAAAATCAGAGATACTTTAATATTTACTGATATGGTTGAGGGATTATTCTTTGGTATAATTCAAAAATTGTAGGAACTATAGCTATTCATTTTTTGTCTTTTAAATTCCAGCATAAAATTCTACAAATATTATTACTTACATATGATACATTTTTTACTTTATTAAACAGCTGATAGCTATCTACTATCTACCTTATTCCCCTGGAGTTTTGTTCCCTTACTGTTTCTTGAATCTATATTTTCTATGCATCTTCTATTTTCTTAGAACTATACCATGAGAGGGTCTTCCCTGTGGCGCAGCAGTTGAGTGCTGGGCTGCGAAGCTGCCCGCAGCCTCTGCAGAGCCAGTTCGATCCCCGGCCACCGGCGAGGGTCCCACATGGCGCGCAGACCTCTCCTGCCACCCGCTGCTCCCCTCAGCAGTGTACTTCAGTCCTTCTGCCTGTTCTGCTCCCTGCTCGGGCTCTGGTGAATTCTCTCACCCTCCCGCTTTTCTGACTGTACCCAGTGCTTGTATAAGTAAATAATCTTTGGGGGGAAAAAAAAGAAAGAACTATACCATATGTTAGGATTTAGGAAAATAAAGGTGAGTGAGACATATTTACCATGGTAAAGAACTTATAGTTTATTGAATGAAAAAAGACAGGTATATAAAATACAAAATTGTAAGTGCTCTATAAAGATAGCCATCTGTGTGTATGTATAGGTGTTGATACACATTCATACACACACACACACACACACACACACAATGGGTCTGAGGAACAGAGAGGGAAGTAACTGGTAACTTCTGGGGAAGTCACCAAAGGCTTCCTAAATGACACAAAAGTTGATTTTGGATGAGATGGAGTTTCATAGGAAACAAAGGATATGCTGGGAATGTACAAAAGTATGGGGGTGGGTGTGGCAGTCTAGGAGTGGTTGTACTATTTGATGTGTTTAGAATATAGGGTTAATCAAGAGACATGAGTAGAGATGAATCTGGGAAACTAAGTTGGGTCAGGCTGTAAAGGGCATTGTAAGAACATGAAGATGTGTTCACTGTGTTCTTTGATTTCTATAAAAATAGATAATCTTATGGTATTAGAAGATGACACGGGAGCCAGATAGTAATGACCACCTTAGATACAGCAGACAGACATATCCACTCCAGTGGTGACTGAATTTTCCTTTACCTTTCCAGGGATGCAAATCTTATGTCTAAAAGTTTTAAATCTCCTCCTTTCATAACTCATTCAGCTCCTCATAACTACAGTTACTTATGATGAAGATGATTGCAATCACTATGTGGAAGGGATGTATTAAAAAATAGCATAATTCTTCAGAGGTTGAGGGAAAGACAAACAAGAAAACAGAACCAGAGAAATATGTCACATTCACAGTAACTCATGACATGAAGAAAATGTACATAGATGCTGCCCCAATGACTTGAAGTATATGTGTATTAGTAACTATACTTTAATAAATGAAATTAAAATTTACATTCTTGTAACTTTTTCCTACTACTGGGACATAGAACAAATATCTGTGTTCTACCTTATTTCAAAGAAAAATGGCAGGGCCTGAGATGTGTGTCAACGTTATATATTCACAAATATCAATGGGTAAGTGTTCTACAAAGATAAATTCAGAATGGGGATGGAGAAGCAACACCTCTGCTTTTACTTACATGAGAATCCAATACCAAGTTGTTGCATAATCTTCAAATATTTTCAGTCCAATTGTCCTTGAATCAAGGATTTTATTGATATGACTGAATTCAAAGAAGAAAAAATATCAATTACTTTTTCACTACCTCCAAACAGAAATGTTCTTGTTATTATAAAAGGGATTTTGTAAGTTGCTGTTCCTACCCACAATGAATGAGATATCACTTCGATAAACCCACAAAAGTGGCTATAGCTATATACAGAAAACACAGCTTTCCAATGTGTGCTGCATGCCCTCAATATTGCAGAAAGCTCACTATAGGACATGAATTTAAATAAGGCCAATTTTGAAGTTAGCAAATCCATAGAGCCAAGAATGAACATTGCTGTTAGCCTCCTTCTTAATACTCCAACAGCTCTGTGGCAGAAAGGCACGATGGGCACTTACAGAAAAGTGAACAAGTTAACATTGATTTGATAAACGATCAAAGTGAACAAATTCATGTAACTACAATACCGTCACCCCTTTCCCACATGTACCCCAATTACAACACCTTCCCCTTCCCCTAAAGGGAACACATTCCTGGCTTTTTGGATAATAGTTTACCAATTTTCTTTTTAGGCACCACAGAATAATTTAATTTAGTTGTGTTTGTTTTGGTTTTTTTGGTCAATGTAATTGTACTTACTATTTTGTGATTTCTTTCATATAGCTTTATATTTGTGAAATTCATCCATGTTGCTATTATAGTCTAAATATGCAGAACCACATTACTTGCTTAGACTGCTAGTGTATTTTATGAAAGAGAAATTTTTAAAATATTTTATTTTTCATTTTTAATTCAACAACTGAGTTATGCAATGCAACTGTGGGTTTATGTTTGTGTATGTGTTTGTATTCACCGAGGGAATTCAGGGTGATAACATTGACACCAGGATGTATACAGCTAAGGGAAACAGCAAATTTACTTCTTTGTACTTAAAACATGGAAATTTGACCTTACATCATCAAGGTTATCTTGAAACAGAATCATCATGGTTATTTTGCCTTGTTTAAAGTCATCTTCCCTTTGTAACATCTGACAGTTTACGATCTCAGTAACTTTTTTTTTAAATGATGCTTTCAAAAGCACAGAGCTTTTATTATTATTATTATTATTATTATTATTATTATTACTATTAATTTTTCATTAAAAAGAATTAATTATATTAAGGGCTTTCAGTACATTTCCAATGTCTCATTTCTGTATCTTCTGATAATGAAATATTTAGTCATTTTGAAAAAAAAAACTGCTGCTCTTTCTAATTGATTATGGTTTTTCCTTTACACACTTTTCTTAATGAACATATACAAAGCTTTCCAGTCCACAGTGACATGTATATTTCATAAAACATCGCCTCCCCCTATTACCCTTAACACAGTGGAAGCTTTAATCTTGGGTACAATAATGGGGTGCGTTGAAACTGAAAAAAATGTAAATGTAAACAAACATACTTTGCAGCTTCCCTCAGTTCTACAGCATTTCTTGTCTTTCCACTTCCATCTTGGAACTTTGTCTTATTTCCTACTGTAAAAGTGCCATTTTTAACAGAGAAGTCAGGGAAACATCTCTGGAGAACTGTAAAATAAATTAAAATTATGGTAACCTCTTATCTACTTCTTCCAAAATGATGTCCTGCCTTCCTCAAGCTCCTGTTAGGTCTAATCAAATACTTGCTAGATGATACATAAATTGCTCAGCATAGACAACTAATTTAATCATTGTTAATCAGAAGATTTTCTGATGGCTCAAAGACAAACATTGAAAGCAAACACAATGACAATCTGAAACTATATTCTGAACTTGTTGATTACTCTATGCATGGTATATTCACCAAGTAGGCGTAAATAAGACACATAGCACAGGTTTTAAAAGAGGAATAATGATAATGTGTATCTCATGGCAAACACATTTTAAAGAAAAGGCTACATTAACTTGGATAAGTTTAGTGTTACTATTAAAACAAAATTGAGGTACTCAAGTATAACCATGAAAACTGCAAATTTATAAATAATTCCTTGAGAAATAAAAACCAACTTAAACTTAAAGCTACCAAGTCAACTGAAATTTTATTTTTAAAATCTTAAAAATGCCCCTTCCAAATTTTTCATTTATGTTTTTTTTTTTTGCTTTTGCAGGGTGGGTGGGAAGGGCTAGCAATGGAAATTACAAAGCTAAAAATCAAAATCAAAATCAACAAGCAACTATAAACAAGACACACACTAAGGGGGTGGAGGGAGGAGGAGGGAGGAGGATCAAAACAAGGGGGGTGGGAATTGTATGGGGACTATAACCAAGATGAAAATGCATACATTGTGCAAAAATGAAAAATGATGTAAAAATGTATAAAACAAAAAAAGTTCTAAATAAATAAATAAGTGAATAAAAATAAATAAAATAATTATACTAAAAAATGGCTCTCACTTTGTAGACTAGCATAATTTCTGAGAAAAGCCACATATCTATTTTATTAAATAGAATCCTTGCAGCTTTATAAGTATATATTAATAAAAATATTTTAAAACCCCCAATTTTAAATGAAGAGGCAAGAGAAATCAAAAAGGGTCATTTGTGTGTGTGTGTGTGTGTGTGTGTGTGTGTATATGGCATCACAGATTTCCATGGGTTCACATGGAGTTTGAATCTGAAAATACTAAAGCAGTTAATTCAGGAAAGAAAAAAAAGCTATCTTTAAAAAACCCTTTCCTGCCTTAAAATGGTATCTTCTCTACCCAGCTCCATCTTCATTAGGTACTGATAACATATGGCTGATCCCTGTCCTATCTTTCTGTTCTTCCCTGGCTAGTAGTCTCCACCAGCCGCTTCTAGTTCCTTTCCATTTAATCATATATCTGCCCCCACCATTCCATGGAAGTTGTCCTCCCAGTGATTCCTAATGATCTCCTAATTGCCAGGACCTCCAAATATTACTTAGTCTTTGTCCTGCTCGAACCCATTCATGTATAATGGAAACTGGCAAACATCTGCTGTTGAATGAGTTAACTTTTCTGAGTCTTTGACATGGTAGACAACCCTTGCTCTTTGAAACTCTCTTGCCTTTGCTTATATGCCCAGATTCCCCTGGTCCTACCTCCTGCCTTTCTGTGTATACCTAACTTTCCACTTCTTACCTATGACTGTCCCCACCTACAGAGTTCCCCAACATTGTACTACTTATTTCTGGGCAGTCTCAGTCTGTTAGCTTCAATAATTAAATATACTCTCTATATTTGGAAAGCAGAGGAAACTACTATTGAGAATTCTACCACCCACAGTCAACTATATTAACATGTCAATGAATCTTCTTCTAAACTTTCTTCTATAGGAAATTTTTTTAGAGTCATAACCATATATATATATATATATATACACATACACACACACACAGTGTTTTCCCTCATTTCTTTTAATATTATTTATTTAATTTTACAAATTATTTAATGAGTGAATTGTATTAGGTGAGTAAAATTAGATTAAGCACTATACTTAATCCCCTAATGGGGCTGCAATACAAGTTGGTTGCTATGTTCACCTTAATGCCCCCCTCACTACACTGTAAAGGATGATGTCTTTCTTATTTATTTATATATTCCCCCAATATATACTTTATATTATGTGATTAAAACAAACTGTTCTTGCAAGGACAATGACTATTTCTTATACTTTTATAGCTATTTTATCTTCAGTGACAAATGATTCATTTTTGCCAAAAAAATCTAACACTGTTCTTTGCCATAGTGCTTGTTTCCCAGGGCTTCCTGGCAAAATATTTATAGGACCTACATCCTTTTGCTTAAAGTTCCTTATTTGCCCTAAGAAGAGTGTTCGGAGCAGGAAAGACACTGTGTTTGGTGACGGCTGTTTCAATGGTAATCAACTTTCTACTCAAATTGATGACTATTGCATTTCTTCTATTTTAAAAGAAATATATAAATACATTGTGGGAAAATGGAGAAATAAAAAGAAAGAAGAGAAAAATGCCTGTAAGTTTGCCACTTCCAGAACAACTGCTTAACATTTTAGCATTTTGCTTTCCAGTCTTTTTCTTTGAATATTTTTTTCCATTTTCATGTATACATGATAGTCATTATAGTGCATAAAATACTTTGCATTCTATTTAATAGTACAACATACACACAATTCTTATATTTAATAATGTTAACATATTTCATTTAATAAAAACATCATAATTCATTTAAGTATTCTTGCTTTTGAATGTGAGAGTGTTTCCCTTCTGTTTTCTTTTTCTTGGATCCTTTGACTTATATATTGTAATGGACATTTATATAATTATTTTTTCTTTGTAGTTAGGATTAGATCCTTAAGAAAGTAAAATGAGTGATTATTTCTTTTTATATCAACAGAGTATTATTTTAAATAAAGTTTATAATTTTAAAGACATTAAGACATTGATTCATTCAGGAGATATGTAAGTATTTCAAAATTTAAACTATAATGACAACTATATGTTCTACTCACACTGTTGAGGCAATTTCTGAACTAGCTTTATGAGTGCCATGGTGGTGGGTGCAGTGTTGTAATACACACCTGAAGGTCTAGAGCCTATACTTCTAAGTCATATATAACATTGTAGACCAATGTTACCTCAACTAAAAAAAAAAAATTTGGCTAAATTTAGGAGTGGATATGTAAAAACATGCCCACATGTGTATTTATGTGTATTCATAGAGCCCAAATAAGTTGGGACTTTTAAAGATATATTTTCAATTTATGTGTGTTTTTATGCAGCAAAACCCCAAAACCCACAGTGCTTCAGTGGAAACTTCCTTGGCAGGAGGTAAGCTTTGGTTTTCTTCCAGAATAACTTGGGGACCTTGGGCCAGTCATAGGACTTTTCCTGGCCTTATTTTCATCAATTGTGAAATAAGGGAACTAAATTAATAACTTCTGTGTTAAACAAGATATGTTTATCTTGCTCTATATTATAAAATACAATCTACTTTTCCTTATGACTCAAAACAACTTCAGTAAACATAAAAAAATGGTCCTACTTTGGATGCTAAATAAATAAATAACTCCTAGGTAAATTCTGTGTTCCTAAGATAAAATAATAAAGACTTACAAGGTTTGCTTGGAAAAATTGCTGATGGACAATCATCATCCATTATAAGTTGTGCAGGAGTCTAAAATGGAAGGAAGAAAATGTTAAAGTTGCAAATGCTATGTGATGACAACTTTTATTTTCAATATGAAAATTTTGTCCTTTAAAAATTTAACTCTACAGTATCTCATTATTCCAATTAAGTATGCTAGTAACAATAATTGTAACATTATCACACATACCTACTTTTTGACATTCTTTAATATCCTAACTGTAATTCAATTGAATCAACAATAAAACCAGACACACCAAAACCTAGACATACCTTTGAAAGTGTGCATGCTTGTTTAGCACATTCTGAAGCTCCACTACTTCAATTTTATTTTTGTAAAATTAGCATCTTGTTTAATTTAGAAGCTATTATTACTATTTAAGATAATAAGTTTTTGGAATTCCTGAAGTGGGTTTCAGATTTTTTTTAATGCACAATTATCAAACTGAACCTGGAAGTAAAATTCTACTAGTTTACTAAGTACCAGTGGAGCTGCAAATGATATTAGCACCTACCTCTTGATAGCAAAAAAATCCATTCACATGGAGAAATTTTTTTTCAGAGAATAGTTGAAGTTAACTTACAGACTTAATAGTCTCAAATAATACCTCAAGTCTGCAAAAATGATACCCTATAAATAACATGTGTTTTTATATGTATAGGTCCATTTGTTTTTTAATGCAATGGTTCCTTTAGACATCATTTCCTAAAAGATTTTCTAATTTTTCCAATTACTGATGTTCAAGTTACACTTACTTTTGCAACAAAAGTTAAATTTCTTCTCTAGTTTTAAAATTAAACACACATACCTTGGCAGGTTGCACCATAGTAGACTTGCAGAACTGGCTGTAGTATGCCCAGTGTTTTTTGTTTTTCTTGGATGTAAATTGCATGTCTAGGTAAGTTAAAAATTTTTCTGGGCACTTTGAGACACAAATCTATAAAGAAAAGGAGCACAGTGTTAGGAACTGAATTGAGTTGACTAACCAAGTAAGTATTTACAGGGTTGAATTTCTAAGTCATCCACTATAATAAAGGGCAAATAACCATCCTTTATTTAAGAAATTTAAATCAATTTTCTAATCTTATTTCAAAAATGAAACTTCATGCATTAGTTATCAATCTCTATCTCTTGTCCTTTGATGTTGATGTTTCGCTAAAATAAGATGCTGTATGATGATAGACTTAACTTCTTATTTTGCAATAATAGAAGTTCTACATTCAGCTATGAGAAATAATGGATACTACATACATTTCACCCAGATTCACTCAATGGTAACAACTTGCATAACTACATGCAATATCATAACTCTGAAACTGATACTGTTGTAATAAACTACCACTAGCCTTCTCAGATTTCAGCAGTTTTACATGCAGTCATGTGTGTGTAGTTCTATGTAATTTTATCACAGGTAGATCAGTGTGTCCACTAGACCAGAACAGTGATAGACTTAATAAAATATTTTTTTATTTTCTGAATTAGTAGATGAGAGTATAATTCAAGATTAATCATGCCTATGTAGTTCATGCATTTTCAGGATTAGAATCTTGCTTCCTTTCCTATACATGAATAAAATGGATATTAAAATTTTTGTAAACATGGACTTATACTTCTAGTAAATGTTCAACAATCTCAAAACACAATTCAGGTTCCATGACCATAAATACTAATGAAATTAGGACTATTTCTGGCAAACCATTATTACTATAGTCTTACACTAGTCAATGTGGGTACAGAGGCACTCATGTAGGTTTTTTTTTTTTAAAGATTTATTTATTTATAGAATAACTGGGGTATAGGCCAGAGGTGCGGAGGGTGACAAGATTCACCAGAGACAGAATGGGGAGCAGAACAGGCAGATCTACTGAAATACACTGCTAAGGGGAGCAGTGGGCAAGACAGGAGAGGTCTGCTATTCCATACGTGGGTCAACTCCCTGGCCAGGTATTGAACTCAGGCCATCGTGATGATAGTGCTGAGACTTAACCTCTAGGCTACCAGGGAGGCCCTGACATAGTTATTTTATATTAGTGAACTTTGGGAACCTATTGGTGCCAAACCCTATAACTGTGCTTCCACAGACTCACTGTGGAGTGACTGGAATCTGATTAGTAACTCCACAGAGAGAAAACAGAATCTCCTGATGCACAGAAATCTCCTGATACACAGAATGCACTTAGTTGGTTTTGTTTTTGTTGATAATAATAATAAATAAAAGAGAACTACAGCCAGTCCTTGTACATTTCCCCTCCCCCTTTAGTTCTCTGTGAAAGTCCTCTCAGCTCTGCTCTAACTACTGTCCTTTGGTAACTATTCTGAAGACCACATCGAGCTCAATCCTGCCTGACAGTTAGGTGAACACATTGCTTCCGAGCTGGTGTCTCTTTCTCATGTTTCTCCTTTGGGTCATATTACTGCTATACACAAGGACATTTGGTATTGATCTCCCAGTTAAGACCATCAGTGGATAACTAAAGAGATTACTCAAATTTCACAGTTAAGATTGTGTTAACAGCAGTCCAATTTCTTCTAGAGGTTTGGACAAGGTAAACAACCATCTCTGAATTCACACATCCATGTGTATCTTCTCTTAATCAATCTCTGTTACACACAAATATATACATAGACACATAATCGCATACACAGATTCATATAACTGGGGAAATACTGGAAGTTTCACAAGTATCTTCCAACAAAAGTGCAGAACTGCTTAGAAATATTCATAGTATACAACATGTTCATATATTTGGGGGAAGAAGGCTAGGGCTATTATCAATGCAAATGCCAAAAGTCTGATTGGCACTAAGCTGAGTAAACCATTAATGCATTAGGAGAAAGCTCACAGATATTTATTAGGCTCTAATTACATGATTTTGGAAGATAAATGAATTAGATACATTTAGATATATGGATACATTTAAATGGAGTATAAAAGTGAATCTGAAAGTACTAATTTTTTCACAGATTTTACGTGTTGGGACCATGATGATTTCTATATTTACAAACACACACCATACATACTAGACATATATAAATGTTGTGTATGCAATATAAAAAGATACAATTAAAATGGTAAAAAGTGATTTGTTGAAATAAAATCACATCAAATTTCATTCCAGATACACATGAGCTGTTAAAAAATAGTGCATCACGGCCTCCCTGGTGGCGCAGGGGTTAAAAATAGCTATATCAAAGCTATAGCCTGCCACTGCGGCACGCGTTCGATCCCTAGCCAGCCAGGAAGCAGCCCACATGGTACAGCAGGCCGCTCCTGACTTACCCACTGCTCCCCCTCAGCAGTGTATTTTAGTAGATCTGCCTGTTCTGCTCCCCACTCTGGTGAATCTTCTCACCACCTCCCCTCCCCTCTGGCTTATACTCCAGTTATTGTATGAATAAATAAATAAATCTTTAAAAAATAGTGCATAAATTTCTCTTTACTTTCTTCCTCTATTAGACCAACTTGCTCACTTTAAACAGGATGCTGATTAGTAGCAATGTAAAATTAGCCAAAAATGAAGGTCACAGTGAGGTTGGGTATTCTAAGTGATAACAGTCTGTCCTTTGTGATCACAGTCTATCCTTTAAAGACTTGTGATGCATATATGACCATGCAGTCAGTTAACAAAAAGCATAATGCATAAAATTATGGTTTACATCAGGAGATACATTAAGGCTTGGCAGATAAAAGCAAGTTTGCTTTATTGATAACTAAAATATATTTTAACTCAGTTCTGATTCTTTGTGTATCCATAAAGGGGTAGTTTCAATTCACGTAGTTTTAACACTCTGATACAAGTTAAGATTTGGGGAGTAGGAAGAGTTACACCAAAGATAACACATTAGGGGCTTCCCCTGGTGGCGCAGCGGTTGAGTGCTGGGCTGCAAAGCTGCCCTCAGCCTCTGCAGCACCGGTTCCATCCCCGGCCACTGGTGAGACACATGGCACGCAGATCTCTCCTGCCGCGCCCACTGCTCCCCTCAGCAGTGTACTTCGGTCCTTCTGCCTGTTCTGCTCCCCACTCTGGCTCTGGTGAATTCTCTCACCCTCCCGCACTTCTGACTGTACCCAGTGCTTGTATAAATAAATAAATAAATAAATAAATAAATAAATAAATAAATCTTAAAAAAAAAAAGATAACACACTACATTTGCTGTGAAAAAAGGATGATCCAGTAAATAATTTATGAAATACAACAAAAGACATAATGTGCTTTGTTTTATGATAGGGATGATGGATTTGTTTAGTATAGTAGAAAACTTTCTAAATTGGGAGTAGGGAGATAATAATTAGTTCATTCATCTATTTACCAAACAAATATTTATAGATTACCTATTCAGAATCTGTTCTAAGCACTACGGATGCAGTAATGAACATAACAGATAAAATACCTTCCCCTCAAACAAGTTACCTTTCAGTAGAGTGAAAGAAATAACAACAAATAAAAAAGTAAAATTGTTATAAGATGGTAATAATGCAACAGAGAAAAATAAGCTTAGGAAGGAGGTCAGATGATGAAAGGTGACTAGGTGGGGTTCCAATTCTAAATATTCAAGGAAGGCCCTACTGAAAACAGTAACATCTAAGAAAAAAACTTGAAGACTAGTGATCAAGCCATAGTCATTTATAGAGAGAGTACTCTAGGGAAGAGGAAAGGCAAAATCTAAGATGCTGAAGCAGGATACTTCCTAGATCCTTTGAAGACCACCCAATATAGTCAATATAGTGAGCACAGGGAAAGTTACAGAATATGCACTTGGAGAGTTGAACAAACAGTGGAGGATGTTGTACCATTGTTAGGACTTTGGCTTTAATCCCAGTAACCTGGGGAACTAAAAGAGGGTTTTTTGAACAAAAGAGTGACATCATGTGACATATTAACAAGTCACATGGGCTACTCGTGGAAAAGAGACTGTAAGATGTGGTGGTGGGGTAGGGAACAAGATAGAGGCAAAGAGACCATTCAGGAGGTCACTAAACTAATCTATTGTAATAAAGAAATGATGGTCTTGGAAAAAAAGGAAGAGAATGGTGAATAACTAACAGTCCATTGACATTTGTTTCTCTTGCTCCATTTATTTTATGGAACAGGAGGGGCTGCTTAGACCAAAGTTATTCAATACATTGCTTGATTCTTTCCTTTTTGCACCTAGGTGTGAAAATATAAAACAAATGTGGCTGTGGCATATAAATAAGCATGCACAGTGTGACTCTTCTTATCCAACATTTTTAAAAGCAGAGGTGCTTTATTTACTTATCCTGTCTGTTTCCTGCTGGCAGTTGTATGTAGATGATGATGAGGACCTTGGAACTGGCAGAGCCACCAGATAAGAGAGCCTGGTGGGGAGTCACCCACTCACCACAAACACCCACCTTATATAGTGTATAGTCAGAAATAAACCTTTGTTAAATTGCTGAAAAACTGAGGTTTATTAATTACAGTGGCTAGTTTCATTGTTTCTAAAACAATACCAACCTTGAGAAAAATGCCTCCACTTCTCTGGGCTACAGTTAATTCATTTACAAAAACAGGCGGTTGGACAAGATAATCAAAGTTGCTTACCACTATTCTAAAATCATTAATCCCTGATTAGTTTGATTGCATATGAACAAACATGAGCTCAGACTTACATCATCCCACCTTCCATAAATTCATCATTAACTACATGTACACAGAACCCAAATGGAGTTTCTAAATTCTTTTATCCAAAAATGATCGAAATTGCTAACATCATCACTGAAGCATCTTTTCCTTACCTGTGTGGTGGGGCACTGTAGATTTACCATCACTGAGGGACTGGCACAGCTGAACAGGTTATAGTAAAACAAAATGGTCTTGTTTCTGTTGAGAAAACAACATAACAATCTTTTTTTAGAGACTGTGAAAATGTTCCATATCATTTTAGATCTTGATTACTTCTCATATAATATGACCTTTAGAAATTGTATTCACTTTCTCTGACACCCCTCATTAAAATCACCTTTTTGTAAGAGGAAAAAGTTGAAATAAACTGTCCAACAAGGAATGGGTTAAAGAAAGAATTTTCAGTTAATAAAATGGAAGATTATACTGTCATTCAAACTATTTTTTAAGAAAATGTTTAATGGATGGTGAAATTCACAATACATTAATTTTTGGAAGCAGATTGCTAAAGAGTTTTAAACTATGATTTGATTTAAAGTTGGCAAAAATATTGTAACATATACAGAAAAATTATTATAGCTGATTATTTTTCTCTGGTTAATTTTTGTGGATTCGCTGAAATAAACATGTATTACTTTGATACTTTAAAAAATATCAATAAGTTGAGAGAGATTCTTTGTGTGTTCAAAATTATGGCCCATGGCACAAGAATGGGACAGGTCAATGTTTATTATCACAAGGACCAACTGGAGTATTAGCTTGCAATTTGACAAGTCATGGCTCCATTTTGAATCTCAATTTATTCATCAGTAAAATGGGGATAATATCAGTCATACCTACTTCATTGTGGTGTTTGGAGGACATAAAATAATGTGCACTGGACTCAAGACAAATATTTCCAACTTAATATGTATAAGTAAAACTTGGCTGTCTGTTGAAAATCCTGATTCTTGGCTCATTTTCAACCACTGAAAGCTCATATCTCTGGATTTATGGCTCAGGAATTCAGAGTTGTTGTTGTTTTTTTTTAATTCTTCCCTGTAGATTGAAAACAGCCCTAACCATTCAATAAGCATTTCCCTAGCTCCTTTACAAAACTCAATTAATTATGACTAAATTAGGGCCTCCCCCGTGGCGCAGCGGTTGAGCGCTGGGTTGCGAAGCTGCCCGCGGCCTCTGCAGTGCCGGTTCGATCCCTGGCTGCTCCCCGGCCACCGGAGGAGGGTCCCGCATGGCGTGCAGACCTCTCCTGCCACCCGCTGCTCCCCTCAGCAGTGTACTTCGGTCCTTCTGCCTGCTCTGCTCCCCGCTCTGGCTCTGGTGAATTCTCTCACCCTCCCCCCCACGCTTCTGACTGTACCCAGTGCATGTATAAACAAAACAAACAAACAAATAAATAAATAAACATGCCTCTTTAAAAAAAAATTATGACTAAATTAGCATACAATGTGTGAAATAGGCTGCTCAGTAAGACTGAATCAGAATCATGAAATAGGATGCAAATCTAAAGATAGAGTGAAGCCTTCACACACACAAAAAAATGTGGACTAGATCATTACATCACTGCTATCCCCTTCATGCCTCTGTCTACATAAGTGAAAGGCTGGGGTAAGGAGATGGATTGGAAGTAATAGAGTTGACAAGATACAATGATCACAGTTAAAAGAATTTTCCATACCTTCCTCATTGAGGGTGTGGATTATCTCATTCCAATTCTAAATTACAGAAAATTCTGAGAGAATTTCTTAAAAGAGACAGAGAATACATATAAGAAAGGCAGGTCAGTGCCTTATTTTCCAAATAGAAACCTCTTTTGTATTACACCTCTGCTAGTCAGCCCTTGGCTTTCATTTTAGCAGGGAGAAATGAGACCCAAAAAGATCACAAGAGACTTTTTGAAAATCAATGGAGCAGAAAGAGGGCATCAGCCTGTCTTGGGAGGATGTGGGCTCAAGTCAAGTGGGATTATGCCTCCCAAGGGGCACCTCTGACAGTAAGGGAGTAGGGGGTGAACTGTGAGGGATGGAGTTGAAGAGTTTGGAAGGCAAGCCAAAGGCAATCTCTCAAATCATGGATCTATTCAGTGAGGATGTTGCTAGAGACTTCTACCTTTATCCTGTGAAAGAACCAGACTTGGGATGCTTATCCCAAAGCATTCAAATAGGTAGTCATTTACATCTTCGCTGCGGGAACTATAACTATGTGGGACTAGGGCTATGATCAGGAAAGTAAGACACTCTTCTTCCATCACCCAGAACACAATGAAAGGTTTAGAACCAGAAGAGAGGGAAAAGAAAGGAAATAGTAAACCAGGCTCTTTCCACACTAAGCTCCTTTTCAGAGTTTACATTACTTTGCCTGAGCCAAACAATTAGAACACATGAGATAAAATTTTAAATTGGAACATACTGAAATTCATAACCACAGAAAGTGTCTAAAAGCTGTGGGAGCTGCCTGATATAAAAGTGAGAAGGGATTTGAAAGAGCACTGTTAAAGGCAATGATAAGGGGAAAATAAGCTTATGTCATGTACATCAAGTACCAATAGCTCAAGAATTTGCTTATAAGTTCCATTCCTCAGTATCTATCTGAACAACAACAACAAAACACTAGTAAATCACTAATTCAAAGGGATATATGCACTTCTATGCTTACTACCACACTATTTACAATAGCCATGCTATGGAAACCACCTAAGTGCCCAACAACAGATGAGTGGATAGAGAAAATGTGGCATATATACACAAAGGAATACTACTCAGCTATTGAAAAAAAGATTTTTTTTAACATCCATATGGATGGAACTGGAAGGGATTATACCAAGCAAAATAATGGTAATGATAAATTCTGAATGATTTCACTCATATTTGGAATATAAAGAAATAAAGCAAAGAAATAGAACAAAACTAAAATAAGCCCTAGAAATCCGACCGCAGAATTCAGGCTACCAGAAGGGGAGGCTAGAGGTAGAGAGCACACCTGGGAGGGGTCAGTGGACTATGGTGGAGGATTACTGATGCTTTGGTGGTACACGTGGTATGGCAATATGCAATTGAAGAGATGGGAATCTATACCCATAAAACATACACATTGTTACAAACAAATGCTATCTCAATAAAAAAAATTTTAAACACCAGGTAAGAAAACAGTGCTAAATAACAACCTACATTAAATACAAGAATAAAACTGCTGTGCTAGACAATAGGGAAAGAAGAATCTGCTTATAAATTCATACATAATATGCACAAGGATACTTCATTCTTCTATATGAGTCAGCTTGACTTTTTCACCACCCAAGCAACTATATTATATAACTCACATAGTCTCATAATACAGGTGATTCAAATTTGTACCTAAATAAATGAAAATTTTTTGCATTTCATGGATCATTGGAGTCCCTTAGGAGCAGTTAAGATTATGAATAGTAAATCTGTAAGTGTCAAGAGTCCTCCATATGTAAAACTGATTTATAAACTGCAAAATGTTACATAAACTGAAGTTATTCACAAGATTTTGCCAGCCTCATCAGTAAGGTTTATACCTTAGTCATCTTTATACTCATTCTTACATTGACAACACTTAGCCTAATGTTGGCCGATTTTGGGTACTTATCAAATGTTGCATAATGAATGAGACCAATTCCAGAATGTGTTTTTTCAGTCTTAGAATCCACCTTAGTTTTTCATCACAAATCCATAGTAATTGTATCACAGTCTATCTAATATCCTTAAACTTTATTGCACCTCAGATTCCTTCGGTGCAAAGTAAATAGTGATAGTTGCAACAATTCTGAGAGTGACTGAGAAACTCATTATTTAACTTGAATTGTATTTCCATCAAAAAATAATAGAAGCAAATGCAAACCTCTGGTTCAAGATGACACAATGTGCACTTAAGCCAGTCTCTCTTTTCCTCATACTGTTTGAAATAAAAGATAAAAACCAAAGAGGAATAAGCCTCACCATACCAGCTAAGGATATGGAGGATGTAATGTTCTCACAATTCTGCAAGAGAGTTCAACAATTTCTGGAAGATGGAGAGCAGATGAGAGTGTGTTGAGGGACTAATGCACCACAGAGGGGCTGCACAAAGGGTGGGACATGTTTTGTTTTTTAGAAATCATGTGACATGATGGACTCAGAGTTGAGAGCAGGAAGCATGGCCAAAAACAAGATTAATGGAAGGTTTATATACAGACTACAGAGAAAATACAGACTACTCTGTATTTCTCCCAATCCCTACACTTAGAATCCTAGCACTCAGGTAAAAACTGAGTAGGCCTAGTCTGTTGAGTGAACCATCTGAAAGCAGCACTGGCTTTCACAGGATTTGGCACCGAGCTCACCTCCATTCATATTCTGGAATTGTTTTTCTGATAGTCAGTATCCCAACAGTTCATGCTGTAGTGCGATCTGTCAACCAACACAGCCCATCACTCCATACAGGCAAAGGCCTTTCTGGAAAACCAACCTATTACACTAAGTCATTAGCAGCAGAGCACACTCATACATGTTGTCTGGTTCTTCTTTCTTTAGTTAAAATGCATAATCATGTAACATCAAGAATATAAGAAGAATACTAAGGTAAACAAAACCTGATGTAGGATGAATAAAACTAATTTAGGGCACAGGAGGGACATTTAAAAAAATCAACATTTTCAGAGTAATTCAAGCAGATTATCCACAAAACAAAAATAATGTGTTAGAAAATACATACATACATACATGCATACATACATAAACATTATGCTAATCTTAATAGAGAACAACAGAGGGCTTTTAGGGATTAAAAATATGATTACTAATTTTTTTTAAATAAATAGAATTGGGGAACATTTGAGAAAATCTCCAGGAATACAGAATAAAAAGTCAGTGAAGGAAAAAATGGGCACTGAGACTAACCCAAGAAGTACAAGGTATGACTCCACAGAGTTTCAAAAGGAGAACCAATAATGTGGAAAGGATGACACAGCAAAGGAGTCACTGAAGAATTTCCAGAGCTGATAGGAGTCATAGTTCTTCAGGGTTAAAGACGCCAAAGAGAACTAAACAAAGGACATTTTAAAAAATCTACATTAAATCAGGAGACTTCATAACAGCAAGAATCAAGAAATTATTATAAATGCTTTCTAAGAGGAAAAAAATCACCATGATCTAGCAGTACAAGAATTAAATTCTAGAACTAAGCTAATATATATG